GAAATGGAGGACAAAGGGTAAAAAATGTAGCAGTGGTACTCACTAGACACTCTGTGGAAAATGAACTATACATCTTGTGGGTGGAGACGGGAGGGAAAAAGTGGGAGAGAATGAAGGAAGGGGTAGCATTGTCCAAAAAGAAATGTACTCTTTACCTGACTTGTTAACTGTAACCTTTCTGTATACCACCTTTATAATTGTGTGTGGGGGGGGGGGGGGGCGCGGGGATAAAAAGGGAAACATTTTTTCCTTCACAAAATGTGAAGTGCCAGATTGTGTATATTTAGATTATATAATTATAATTTTATTCCTGTGGTTTTTTTTTCTTGGAACTACCTGATAACAGTCATTTTTTGTAGGTGAACCTCCAGAGGCTCCGCAGACACCCCGCTGTAGCCTGAAGGAGATCACCAATGTCCCCTTACATCCTGTAGTCAAAACCAGGAGACTTTCTCTTTCTCCAAAACGGAATATAGAAAGCACAGCACAACCTCTTCCTAAGCGCAGGTGTGCCACCATGGTGAGCTACAAGGAACCAACATTAGCTTCGTAAGTATATGGTTTGGGGAGGACCTGTCCAAAATGAGTGATGAGTCCTAGATTAAGCTTTAAAGTTTGATTAAAAGAAACAGCCAGGGATTGATGGCTCACACCAGTAATCCTAGCTACAAGGCAGATATCTGAGGATCCCAGTCTGAAGCCAGCCCAGATAGGAAAGCCTGTGAGACTTTTATCTCGTTAGTCAGCTAAAAGCCATGTGTGGATGTATGGATCAAATGGTAAAGCACCAGCCTTGAGCAGTAAAGCCAAGCAAAAACATGAGGTCCTGAGTTCAAGCTTCAGTACTGGCTTATACACAGAAAAGGAAGAACACTAAAACTGGTAGTTTTGATAACACTTTATAATGAGTTAACACAGGATACTTGGAATTAACATCTTTTTAACCCTTGTAGGAAACTAAGAAGAGGGGATCCTTTTACAGATTTGTGTTTCTTGAATTCGCCCATCTTCAAGCAGAAAAAAGATTTGAGACGTTCTAAGAAAAGTGCGAAGCAAATACAAAAAACGTTGGATGCTATTTAAATTTATCCTCTACCCCCGTCTTTCTATTGCTTTACGTAGAGAATCTGTGAAGTAGTGCACAGGTGGATAGAACAGAATATTTGAATATTTTGTTAACAAGACACTAAATCATGAAGATGTCTTCAAAACAATACTTTTTAATTGTTTAGAATTCTTGTGCTATTTACTTCAAAACAGCTGTGTTTTACAAAATTACATTCATCTGCCTATTTTTTCCTAAAGGCATAGGCTGATAAGTATACTATAGTAAAGAACTTTGTAAGATGAGAATCTTTTGAAACTCCTTATGTAATTTTTGAATAGAAAAAAAAATCCATGGTACTCCCAGGTAAAGTTTTGTGGATCCCTTATGTGCCGCTATTGGGTTTGTTTTATCTTGGTTTTTTTTTGTCCAAGATATTGCTGTGTAGTCCAGGCTAGCCTCAAACTTAAAATTGTCCTGTGTCAGCCTCCTAGGTGGGGATTTCAGGCATGTGCCACCAAGCCTAGCACCACTGTTGCATGTAAGTTTTCAGATAATACATTTGTAGGATCATGATTAGAGAATCACTGGTTATTTAGGTTCAGTGACTGATAAGTGACTGGTTATGAGCCCTAAGTGTATGTTGTTCAATGATTGCTTGGCAAAATCACAAGTTACAGACTTTTAGAAAAGCTCTTTAGTCAGACATCTTAGATGTGTGAATATTAAGGACTATTTTTAATCAGCCAATGAGAATTAATTTAGAAATTTTAACATGTATACTTATATATACCCTTTTAAACTTCAAATCACTAAAAGGATCAAAAGCCGTGGGCGCTGGAGGTTCAGACCTGTAATCCTAGCTACTCAGGAGGCTGCGATCTGAGGATCAAGGTTCAAAGCCAGCCTGGGCAGCAAAGTCCGTGAGACTTATTTCTAATAAACCACCAGAAAACCCAAAGAGGCGCTGTGGCTCAAGTGGTAGCGTTAGCCTTAAGCTGAAGAGCTTAAAAATTTTTTTTGTCTAAATGTACAAGATGGCCATTCTTCATGTGTTACAGGTCTGCATTCTATCACTGATCCTTACTTCCTATTGCCCTAGTCTCTCACCAACCTTATTCTTACGATTTTCCTTCCTCCCCTCCTTTCCTTTCTTTTTGCTAGTCTTAAGGCTTGAACTCTAGCATTGGGCATTGTCTTTGAGTTTCTTTGCCTCAAGGCTAGGGTTCTACCATTTGAGCCATAGGCACCACTTCCAGCTTTTTTTGACTAGTTTATTGGAGATAAGAATCTATTGGACTTTCTTGCCCCTGAAGACTTCAAACTATGATCTTCAGAGCTCAGTCTCCTGAGTAGCTTGGATTATTGGAGCCACTGGTGCCTGGCTTCCTTACAGGTTTCAACTGCTGCTTTTATACCTATTCTTTAATTTCATAAAAATGAACTGCAGAGAGGCTACCCAGCAACTGAGGGGGGGTACGGCAGAAGGATCATGACTTGAAGCCAGCCTGGGCTAGACCCTGTCGTTAAGAGATTGCCACTTCTTGCTCCACACCATTGATTGTTTGCATTTTACTGTTTCAAAACTCCCTGATGTAGCTTTGATTCTCACCCTCTTTCAGACCTAGTCAACCATTTCTGAAAAACCCCTGGTAGATTTTGTACTTTCAGTGTTGTGTATATATCTGTAGTGTTAAGTATTGTCTTGTGTTTCAACATTTTATATGAATTACACTGTATATATTACCTTCTGTGGCCTTAATCTGTTTTTGAGGGTTGTCCATGCTGGTAGATGTATTTTCATAGTTGTATACTATTATGTAAATAAACCACACTTAACTGATGCATTGTCTGACAGTTTGTTGCCACTTTTTCATCGTTTACAAATTAGTGCCACAGTGAATAATCTATAGCTCTTTTGGACCTCAGTACTAAGATGCAGGTTCCTAACCTATGTTTCATGACCTCATCTCCTAATCCCCACAGCACACCAGCTCTCACCTCACACTGATTACCTCTGATTTCCTTCCTGCTGCCTTTCTTCCACTTACATTTCTTCTCTTCATAGACTTTAACCCTAAAAGCTGGCATTTCTAATTTATAGTAGCACTATGGTTATCGAGAATGTGGAAGAAATGCCTTCTTATAATGGAATATAAAAAACTAGAGGTACCTAAATCTCCAGCATTGTTTTTTGTAGGAAAAACAGAAAAATGTGGCTTCAATGGGGAACTCTAAGGTGAATTCACATACAGCTACACTTAAGAAATGTTGATCTTGGCGTCTTGGGAATTGGTATCTAGCATCAAACTGGATGTTACAGCCTTTCCTTCATCCTGTTCAGTAATTTTTATTAGTAATAAGATTATCGGCCAGGGGTATATAGTGGTAAAACATGCAAGCATGCATGCAAGATCTGATTCCAGCCCCATCACCACAAAAAAAGTAAATAACACGGGTATGAGAAGACATTTATGTAACTTAAAGACAAACTTGTCTATGTAAAATGTAGAAGGAATGGTCAGCAGTGAATGCTACAACTACAAGGGTGGGGAAGAAGCTTTAAGAAGTTGGGTGTGATGCATGACTATAATCCCATTACTCAGGAGGATTGCAAGTGTGAGGCCAGCCCAGGATACACCTAACCAGACCCTGTCTCAAATACACATATTCACCAAAGACAAACCTTCAGATGTTAATGCCAATAACTACATGTTTCCCTATAAAATTAGTCCATATCAACTTTGTGACTTGAATTCTACTAGGTATTTACATAAAAGTATTTGTTAGTCAAAAGACTTACACGAGTGACAACAGCATCCTTACTGTAAACTGGGAGCTACCCAAATGTCCACTATGGTAGACAAGTCTTTACATTCCAACCACAGACTACTGCCAATCAGCTTCCTAAAAAAAGAATACCAGCTTGAAGGGTAATAAATCGTATGTTTATCCACAGTCCAATCTTGTTTCTACTTCTGAGTGTCTAAAATTGCAAACGTTACTGCCAAGCAAAATGAAACCTGACAATCTTTTCACCATTTTGTTTACTAAGTGGCCATTTAAAAGGTTTTATTGGCTGAGTAATGAACGAGGAAAATGTGCAAATGCTTAATAGATATATGGAGTAGGGATGTAAAGTAACTTCCAGAAGTTTCCTTGTATCCATCATCTAGCTTCCCACTGCCCCCTCATTCAGTCCTGCCTGGGAGACATTTGCTTAATTATGAATTAAATAGAAACAAACCTATCAAGTGGCTTTGGGTTAATAGCCCCTGCTTCCTACTCCCCATCCCTTCCTCCAGTGCTGGGGACGCCTAACACATGCTTCTACCCGCTGTGCCTGACTTTCCTGGACTTGAGCTAAGCTTAAATACAGACCCTGCCCTTTGTTGGGGTAGATGGCAGTGGTGCAGAGCTGCTGTCAACAGAGCATTCTGGGATTCAGTGTTGAAAAGTTTACTCTCCACAGAGAAAAGAAAGTAACATTCTCCACTGCCCAGTTTCATTCATACAGATATTTGCTGCTGCATTCAGATTTGCACTGGAGGGGGGGAGGGGGGGTCTTGAGTGTTGGGTCCTCACAAACCAGGGGAACAGAATATTTATTTCATAAGATAGGATTTTAGGTAACATTACAAGATCATATGGGAGATGTCTAAAAACCTGTATTTCTAGCTCATTCCTCTGTTGCAAAATAAAAAAAAATTAAAAAACTATAAAAAATCTCATTTTTTAAAGGTTGAAACCATTAACATTCTTCTGTGGAGGATGAGTATCTTCTTGACACTGATGGGGTATAGATTTCTATGGAACTTCCCACTAATACAGTAACTCTAGCCACCTGAGGACTTAAGTATAGAGTCAGCAGTCATGCCAGGTCATACATTTATCCTGTGAAATCCAGGCTTGCTTAAAGGAAAGAAAAAAACAAAACAAAAAACACCACACCAGATTGGGAGCTTCTCAAAATATAATTTAAAACTATTTTGTACCAGTACAATATATTAATTTTACAAATGTAAAATTTTATCAGCTGTTAAAGCATTTGCAAAAACCACACATTCTACTTCAGCTTTATTGCACAATATCTATAAGAAAATATTAATTTTTAAATTAGAAAACATAAAAATGCTTTCAATATAGAAGAGACGATCTGATTTTAAAGACAATACTCTATAAGAATGTCTACCCAGAAAATAACAAACTTTCACAGGTTACCAAGAGCTGGACAGATGCTTCAGCAAATCCGGTACAAAGCTCTGTTTAAAACCAGTCCAAGATACTTAATCCAAACTGTAGCATCCTTCTTCATTAGAAATCTAAGACACCACTCAAGGTAGTTTCTTATACTTGGAAAAGTTGAGGCATGTTTCACTGTGAGCATTCTGAAAAATCTACATCTCAAAAACAACACTTCCAACTTCATAGCCATTTTACGGGTATTTCCTTCATGCTTGCTATCTCTGGTGACTGTTTTCATTAAAAACATTCGTGACCCATTTTAATTTATGCTGATAGAAAACAAATACATTTTTAAAACCTCATCCTTTACAAAAATCAGTTTACAAATTTGCATCATAAAAATTAGTGTCAACACTGTGGAGATGGCTTCATTTGTATGGTTGTATATTAGTTGGTTTTCCCAGAGTTGGGGTATGGTAGGTGTCGCACTTTCTCTGTAGTGTAATCAGGATTAAAATGTAAGCACTAAGCTGGAATCCCAAGACAGGTTAGGGAATAGACTGTATGATGGATGGTAGTGGGATATAACCCTGAACCCAGAATAGCAATTAGGTGTTAAAATGCTGACACCACCCTCGGTGGGAATTTAATTCATCTCAGACAATAAACATAATCTGGAGATGAAGAAAAAAAAATGTTCGCATACACATTTTTAATGGAGTTACACATGTCATAGAAAAGTAAAAATCCTCACTTATTAGAACAAGGATCCACCAGATTGCTTGATACACATATAGAATACATGTCTTTTTCCTATTAAGGCATGTTGTCTCCATTTCAAGTGTTTTCAACTTTATGCCTTTGTGGCTTGGGAAATTACCTTTTTTTTTTTTTTTTGAACTTATGTCCTGCATAAGCAAAGTCAAATATGATATCTCACATTTGTGTAAAGAATTAGTAAAATAGTGGTTAAGTACTCACAAGTTTGTTGTATGTAGACAGAATTATCAAAACCCCAGATGCTTACAAAAAAAAAAAAAGAAAGTTTGCATTATTTAGAATCTCTTCCTTAGGAATCAAAGCAGCTGCAGTTGAGGACCTGCAATTTTTTTCAGAACTGCTCAGAGCACCTCATCTAGATGAGTGTTTTAAAAAATATCCATGTAGAGTCTATTGTGAGACTTCAAACATCACATATTTCACCTTTTATGGGCTTTTTATCATTATTTCCTCCTTCAAGTCCTTCAGAATAAAATAAAACTACACTCTCACATTCCATTAGGAAAAAAAAAAATGGACACATTCACGGTCTGAAAACCCCTGATCTTCTATCATGGAATAGTGGGCTAATGGACTTGTCATAGAAAATGTACATCCTAGCAGTAAATAGATTCAAATCTATTCCATCAAATAAAAATGTTCTATGACTTCAATTTAAATACCTATCTGAAAAGCTAACAGGAGGTTGTCTTGTTTTCTCAAAAGTGCTAATTATTACATTTACAAGTCTCTTCAAAGACATCTCCAATTCAGTTCTTTAAAATAAAACAACAACAACAACAAAAGAAAACAATAAAATGAAACCATCTTGCTTTAGGCACACTGCTGATGAGTTTCTAAGAAGCAGAGGGAAAGGAAATCACTTGTCAATTAATCCAGCCTCCTTAATTTTACTGAAGAAGAATTTCTCCAGGATATTGGCACATTTGTAGTATTCACTCTCAGGGGGGTTGTACTCTTTGCAATTGGTAAAAACTCTCTGTAAGTCTGCCATGAATAATTTCTTAGACACGTAGTACCGATTCTTGAGGCGTTCACTCATGGTTTTCAGATCTGCACAGGGAAAAAAAATATTAACAATATTTGACTCTTATTAAGCACTAATATAAGCAAATAAGACTAACTGTGGGAAAGAATATATGTGGTTGAAAAAACAGTTTTTAAATCTTACTTTATTCTTTTGAGAGGATTTTATAACAAAATCAGATCCACTTTATCATTAAAGGGACCATTATTAGTTATCTGGTTCAATCCTCCATTGAACACAAGGAAGCTAAGTAGATTATCAAGAGCTAAGTATGGTAAACAGACTGCTATTAGCTATTCATTCTGAATTATACAGGGGTTCTATCTTCATCACACAGAGCAGATAGACATTTGTATTGAATCATTTAATTACTTAAAACAATCGGACTGAGTTTCCCTAAGTTCAAAGTAAATTCTCTACTAAAGTATAAAAACTAATCATTAGGTATAACTCCAAATATTTCAAGCCGGGTGTCGGTGGCTCACGCCTATAATCTTAACTACTCAGGAAGCTGAGATCTGAGGATCACGGTTCAAAGCCAGCCCCAGCAGGAACGTCCAGGAACGTCTGTGAGACTCTTATCTCTAATAAACCAACAGAAAATCAGAAGTGGCACTGTGGCTCAAGTGGTAGAGTGCTCACCTTGAGCTGAAGAGCTCAGAGACCGAGCCCAGGCCCAGAGTTCAAGCTCCATGACTAACCAAAAACAAAAACAAAAAAAATTATTTCAGTGCCAGCACATGAAACAGTAAAAAAGAAATTTTCATGTTCCATCAATTAAATAAAAATGACTAACTTCATAGTCATTTTTCTTTTTTTCTTTTTGCCAGTCCTGTAGCTTGAACTCAGGGCCTGGGCACTGTCACTGACCTTCCTTTGCTAACAGCTAGCACTCTACCATTTGAGCCACAGCACCACTTCCTGCTTTTTCTGTGTATGTGGTGCTGAGAAATCAAATTCCAAGCATGCCAGGCAAGCACTCTACCACTAAGCCACTTCCCAGCCCTCATAGTCATTTTTCTAAAGTAAATAAACTTTGCAAGACTTGTGAAATATATTTTCTCAATATATCTACTTGTTTAAATCGTATAACTTATTAGCAAATGAAGACAATGCTTGATCTCTCTCCCTTAGAATACATGGAGTTTCCTCAATCTTCATGGTGAGGACAAATTTATGCAACTCAATGCAAACCGGATACTAAGGTTTGTCTATTTAAGGGTCCTCAGGTGTCTTTAAGTCTAGCTCAATCACCAAAAACTGTAACTGTGTTAACTATACAAGTAAGTCAAAACTTCACAGCATTGTAAAAATCCAAAATTTCCACTATATTATCAAATTTTCCAGAGGAAACAAAATCTGCTACCAGATACACTAGCATTCTCTCTCTACAACCCATCACATCCTGAATGGGGAATGAATTCATTTACACCAAAAATCTCAAGCCGACTACAAAACACCAAAGGAAAAATGTGGAAAAATATGTTTCTCTTTGTCTCTTTTAATTAACGCCTATCCCTGTTAGTTCATGTCATCACATCTGTAAATTCAACTTTTAACTTTTCTTTTCTCTCTAACACAAGCAGTTTGGAGACAGAAAAAAAAATCTAAACATGTTAAGACAAACAAAGACTCAACAAATCCTCTACTAAACATCTCACCTAAGTGTGGCTGAAAGCATCAAGATGTTCTCTCATTTAAGGAAGAAAGACTAAATTTATGCCTCAAACAAAGCAACAAAACAATCACCTTATAAATATGTTAGAAACAATCGCAAGAAAGAAAAAACCACTTGTGTCCTTATCTTGAGGTTCATTTCGCCTAACATCAAGTTATCTGACCGTTTCTGCTTGTCTCAGACATATACTAGTTATTGAAAATAAGGGAAACCATGGGACCTATGTTTCTTTGGGCCTGGCTTACTTCACTTAATATAATTTTTTCCAAGTCTTTCCATTTCCTAACAAATGTGGCAATGTCATTCTTTCTGATGGAGGCATAGAATTCCATTGTGTATATATACCACATTTTCCTGATCCATTCATCTGAGGGGCACCTGGGTTGGTTCACTATATTGGCTATAGTTTTGTTGATTTGTATGTCCCTCCCCCATGGTATAACCCCTGTTTTCACTGTATTTGATGTTGGTAAAATTTGGGGAGGGTTAGGAAAAAAATTGTTTAAATAGGGATACAAGTGGACCCATTGCAACAATGAGATGTACAAAATGCTATGTTGAAAAACGAACTTTACAACTTTGGGGGAAGGTGGGGAGTATAGTCATGGAGATGGGAGAGCAGGGATGGTAGGGGAAAAACAAAGGAGGAGACAACAATGCTTGATAAGAAATGTACTCATTACCTTGCTCATGTAATTGTAACCCCTCTGTATGGTATTTTCACAATAAAAAAAACTTAATAAAAAATTATTCCTCATTAAGTAAAACCAGGTGTTTGTATTCCTTTTCCCTAAATTTCTTATCTCTTAAGATATGCTGCCCAGTAAGTTTATAATGTTTTAGAAGAAAGTAACATGTAGCCAAAACCAAAAACATAAACCAACAACTAAGTTCTGTGAAGAAAACAAACTAAAAAGGTAATTTGAAGCTAGCCTGGGCAGACAAATCCAAGAGACTCTAATCTCCAATTAACCAGCAAAAAGATGGAACTAGAGATGTGGTCAAGTGGTAGAGCACTAGCCCAGACTCAAAAAGCTAAATAAGAATGTGAGGCCCTGAGTTCAAGCATCAAAACCTACAAACACACACACATACGTGCATACACATACACATACATACACACACACACACACACACACACACACACACACACACACACATCATTTTTTTAAAAAAAAGAGAGGGAGGGAGGAAGTGGATGAGGGAAAGAGGGAGGGAAAGTACAGAGAGGGACCAAAGCCCTTTCAAACATTTAGGTGGGGTAGGGGTGAGTGGAAAGTAAGAAGAGACTAGTAGCAGAAACAAAGCCAGAATTATAGTGGTAGTTTGACCCTCTAAAAGAATTAGAATCCATTCTGAATTACAACTCATTTTTCTATTCTAATGCTACAGATAGCATTTTTCTTTCTTTGATCCACTTACATTATTTTGATTGACCTAACACCATGGGTTAGAAAAACACTGCTGGGCTGGGAATGTGGCTTAGTGGTAGAGTGCTTGCCTAGTATGCATGAAGCCCTGGGTTCAATTCCTCAGTACCACATATACAAAAAACTGGAAGTAGTACTGTGGCTCAAGTGGTTGAGTGCTAGCCTTGAGCAAAAGCAGCTCAGGGACAGTGCCCAGGCCCTCAGCTCAAGCCCCAGGACTGGCAGGAAAAAAAACAAAACAAAAAACACTGGTATCACCAGGCACCAGTGGCTCAGTAGGAAGTCCCTGAGATTGTTGTCTCCAATTAAGCATCTAAAAAGCCAGAAGTGAAGGTGTGACTTAAGTGCTGGAGCACTAGCCTGGAGTTAAAAAAAAAAAAAGCTCAGGGACAGTGCCAGGCTCTGAGTTCAAGGTCCAGAATTGGCATCAAGAGAGAAAGAAAAGAAGGAATGTAGGAACGAAGGAAGGAAGGATAGTACCAAATATGGAGGTAGAACGAAATGAACTGCATTTTCGAAGGTGAGCAGGAAGACCCTGTCTAGCAATCACAGGTAGGAAGATGTCATGCTTGGCTCAGACTACTCAGGCAATTTGCAGTTTGCCACTCCCTAGGTAAAACCCATTTATAAAGATGAGAGAAAAGAGGTCGTAGAACATGGGAAAAAGAGAAGAAACCTCTTTAGAAAAAAATCTTCTAAGAAAGCAATAAATAAACATAAGTGGAGAGCCAGTGGCTCACATCTAGCTACTCAGGAGGCTGAAGCTGAGATCTGAGCATCATGGGTATGAAGCCAGCCCAGGCAGAAAAGTCCCCGTGAGACTCTTATCTCCAATTAACCACCAGGAAAGGAGAAATAGAGCTGTGGCTCAAAGTGGTAGAGCGCTAGCCTTGAGTGAAAGAGCTCAGGGATAGGGCCCAGGCCCCGTGTTCAAGCCCCATGACTGACAAAAAAAAAAAAAAGGATTACAAGTAAAAGAGGAACAGAAGAATCTGCTCTCATTTCAGCTAGTTCTCATCCACACAATACCAAGTTGATTGAATTTGGGAATTCTAAATTGATTCAATTAATTATGCATTTTAGTATAGTATAAGCACAAGTAGCAGTTTCTGCAATTCTGAATGTTTGAAGGCATCTTTTATCTTCAGATAAGAATAAAGGTTAAAATAACAGCATATGTGGCAATGAACAGTATCATGAAGAACAGGGAAAAAAAGCAAGACATTACTATCATTTCTCCCTCTGAAAGTACAACTTAATCTACCTTCTTTCGTATTACCTTGAACAACTCTTAAAAGGAATAGCTGTTTATGATGGACTCGAAACATATCAAAAAAAAAAAACCTGGTATCTTTACATCTGCAACAAGCAGGTAGACTACAAGCAAGATTATGTCCAAATAGCAAGTGTCCATATCCAGGAACTGTCTGCAGGTCAATCCAACTTGGATTCCAAGTCATGGGCTCTAAAAGACAGCTGTGGGTTGTCTCTAAGGAACAGGGCCTGCCCCTTCCCCTTAATCATTCTATTCCAACATAACTGCCCCTCCCCTCCAGATACAGGAAGCCCACTCCCCACTCCACCACAGAGGAGACCAAATCAGCATCAGCACCCAATTGTCCCCCCACACCACCAACCAGAGTTTCACATCTACAATTAGAAAATATTAATGGCATTACCCATGGGAAACCGTATAACTTCATAATATCCCGGAGCTTCTGTTCTCTTCACAGGTTCCATGAAGGGCCAAGCGCTTTGATGGCTCTTGAGTAAAGGAAAGAAAAGGAAGGTATCTAATATGACTGTTCCGGGTGGGAAGTCATTTCAAAACACCGGCATGAAGAAAATGAAAGCAACACCTACCTTCACCTGCTGGAGGATGCCCTTGAGCGTGCTGTAAAGCTGGTCAGGGTCTTTGGGTTCTTTACTTGAAAAGAGGAAACATCAGGAGCAGAGATTAGTTCTGACCCTGCTGCCCGCTTATTTCTACGCAGCCCGGCCTCACAGAAACCCCAATACAATCCATTCCAGAACTAAGGAACAACAAACCCCAACAAGGGCTGTGGGAGACATTATAATAATCACTTGACCCTTTTTCTCTAAGTTGCTGGAAGAGGGGAAAAAATTAAGCAACCTCCATTCACAGCCACTTACCCATCTTCCTTACCTTTTTTCTTTTCCACTTGGTTTCCAGCCTGTCTCTCCTAGGTCAAGAAAATGAAACATTAAATGAGAAATGCTTCTGGTCAAGAGAATAGCATACTTGGTAAAAGTATAATCCATTATGGCCATGCCTCGAGAAATGTCTGGGAAATCTTAAATCATCAGCATTTATTCACTTTCTTATCAAGCTCATAATACAAAACATTCCTCAAACGGGCTACTGTATGTTTTGTAAAATGGAAACTCTGGCCTTTAACTCTACCTTTCACTAGAGACAAAGATTTAGTATTATATTTTTTTAAATTCTAAGTCAAATTATTTGCTAATCACAATGTAAAATAATGAAGGTATTATTTTAGGTCAGAACAAACTCTGTGCTATTTGGTCACGGCCTGTTTGTGATGCACGATGTTTCAGTGTAGACAGAGCACAGATTTCTTCCTGCTCACTACTGAAAGGCTATCATGCCCTAAGGCACTTAATCCTCTTACATCTCGGGCTACCAAGCTATAAAATGAAATTCTAAAACTTAAGTGATATGATCCCTTTTGAAATGAGTTCATAATAAAAATAATGTAGTTCATGTCTGTAATCCTAGCTAGTCAGAAGGCTGAGATCTGAGGATTGCAGTTTGAGGCCAACCCAGGCAGCAAAATCAATGAGATTCTTATCTCCAATTACTCACCAACAACCTAGAGGTGGAGCTGTGGCCCAAGTGGTAGAGCACTAGCTTTGAGCAAAAAAGTTAAGTGACAGCTAACAGGCCCTGAATTCAAGCTCCAGTACAAGGAAGGAAGGAGGGGAGGGACAGAGGGACAGAGGGAGGGAGAGCTAGAGAAAGGAAGGAAGGAAGGAAGGAAGGGATGGAGGGAGGGAAGGAGGGATACAGGGAGGGAAGGAAGGAAGGAAGGAAGGAAGGAAGGAAGGAAGGAAGGAAGGAAGGAAGGAAGGAAGGAAGGAAAAAATACTTGGTCCAAGATCATAATAATATGATAGCTATTATACCATTAGTAGGGATAAAAATGACTATAGGTTGAGCAGTGAAAATAAGGAAAGATATAATAAGGTAATTTTATCTTTTCCAAATAACATCTTTTTTCTCTGGAGAATTTTGTCTGGTTTTGTTTAGTTTATTAAATCTTTACTAGAAGCTGGATTTGAGTCAAGTAAAAGTTCCAATGATATTCAATAGCTTTTGATGTACAAGAAATAGCTAATTGGGATGGCTCAACCAGTACAACTCATCCATTAGCTGTAATGAATCATTTAAAATTAAATGCTAACCATTCTGAGACTCAGTTTCCCCATTTGTATATGTATAGTTCTGCGGTTTTCCATGTTCCATGTTGCTAGCATCCAGTAGTGTGCTACAAATGCTAAGATCTTAATAAAGGGTAGATATTAATAGTGAAAACAAGAAGGAATTTTCATTGATTTGTTGGAGTTGAAAGAAAAAGGACATTAAAAGGGAGGCATTTGCTACCTTTTCTTTGTTCGTTGATGACAAGGTCTAATTATATAAACCTAAGACTATTCTTGAGTTCACAATCCTCCTGTCTCTGCCTCCAGGTGGTTGGGATTATATAGCCATACCCAGCTTGCTGCCTTCTTAAAGATTAGAAATGATGGAAAGGGTGCCACTGATCAGGATGCATTTTACTCATAACCTGGCAGATTGAATTGAAACCCCTTTGTACAACTACTTGAAGATAATATTTTTTTTTCTCCATCATGGGGCTTGAACTCAGGGCCTGGGCACTGTCCCTGAGCTTTTTGTGCTCCAAGACTAGTGCTCTACCACTTTGAGCCACAGCTTCTCTTCCAGTTTTCCTGATGGTTAGTGTCAGTCCTGACAGTTAACTGGAGGTAAGAGTCTCATGGACCTTGCAGTCCAGGCTGGCTTCAAACTGCAATCCTCAGAGCTCAGCCTCCTGAGTAGCTAGGATGACAGGCACAAGCCACTGGCACCTGACTAACGGTAATAATTTTTAAGACTAGAAATAACACACATGAGAATGAAATTGTTTCAAATACAACTTCTGACATCTCCAAAAGATAAAAAGAATGTCTATACATACTAATTCCAGGAATGCTTTCTATAGGAATCTGTCGAACTCCATCTTTAAAACATGAAAGTCCAGGGTAGACTTTTCGGATCTGGGCCTGTTTTCTTTCTATCAGCTTTTTAATTATCTGTAAAGTACAGGAATAAAATACGTTGAGTGAAAGAAGTCTGTGCAATGACACAGTTCAAGTCAGCAACTTGAAGGAAACATTCTCCTTGCAAGAGTATTTCATGGTACAAAATGGCAGGAAAGGATGAATGCTATTGAACAGGTCAGAAATGAAGACATTCTTTTATACAGATCCATCTCAGAAACACTGGGCCCTGATATACAGACCAGGGTGCTTAGGGAAGAGGGGAGGGGCGACAAGTTGGAAAGGAGAGTGTGTTCATGTATAAAGCATGATACTTGCCTACTTATGGTGAAATTCATATGTTAACTATCATTTAGAACACATTTTTGTAAAAGGAATCAATATACACTAATAAAAGCAATTGTGAGAAGTTTAAAAAGGAGTGTAGGAGAATAGAGTACTAGAAAGGAGCATGTGAGCACTCTGTCATTGTATACATGTGCAGGAATGCCACAAGGAAACATATGGTAGTAAAAAATTATTTAACAAAGCAAGTCAATGCTGAGAACGCATTGCCCTATACTTCACTTCTCCTCTTGGGCACAAGAACCCACCACTTTGCTCTGCTTCTCTGAGGAGCCAGGCTCAGAAGAGCTGAGTGTTTCTGGCAGCACCTGTCCAAGGGAAAGAACTTCTTCACCCCCCATAGTGGAGACTATCCTTTTCAGACAGGAGGAGCGGTGAAAAGACCTCAGAAATGCCCAGAACTCTGGAAAACGTATAACCTGCTATTATTTAAACTGGGAAGGGAGGAGGGAGGAGGAGCGACGAGAGGGGGGTGGAAGAAGGGAAGAGAAGGGAGAAGAGGATCTTTGAAGGCTGAGCCCCAATGAATGCTATTCTCATTAGAAAGCTGTTCTAAAGTACTATCTACTGAGCACCATCAAAGGTTACTTGAAATGCTTGATTCAGAACTTCAGAAAGCTGTTTATTTTAGTTTATAAACAATCCTAAAGTAACTTAGGTAAGTAATTGCAAAGACATTACAGTTTTCCTTTAAAAACAGAAACACTGGAGTGCTGGTGACTCATGCCTGTAACAGTAGGTAAGTGCGCAGGATGCTGAGATCTGAGGACTCTGTTAGAAGCCAGCTAGGGTGGAGCAGGAAAGTTAAAGAAATTCTTACCTCCAATTAACTATCAAAAAGCAGGAAGTGGGAACTATGGCTCAAGTGGTAGAGGGCTAGCCTTGAGAATCAAAGCTCAGGGAAGCCATGCTAGTGGCTCAGGCCTCCTAGCTACTTAGGAGGCTGAGATTTGAAAAATCACAGTTAGAAGCCAGCAGGGCCAGGGAAGTCCATGATACTCTTATCTCTAATTAACCATCAAAAAAGCTGGAAGTGGAACTGAGGCTGGTTCAGGTGGTAGAGTGCTAGCCTTGAGCAAAAAAGCTAAAGGACAGCCTCCAGGTCCTGAGTTCAAGGCCCTAGGACTGACACAAATAAAATTAAAAACAAAACAACAAAACAACACACACACACACACACACATACAATTACTTGGTATGCTAAGGCTAGATGATGGTGAGTTCAAGGCCAGCCTAGGATACATAGCTAGACCTTGTCTCAAATAAAAAATAAAAACTCCTCAATAATTACATAGCATATCTAAATTTGAGGGAAGAATTGCAAAACAATAGAAGTCACTACTCAATTCATAATGGGCGGGGGGAGCGGAGACAGGGAACACCAGTTCTTCTTCTAGTTACATATGGCTTGGTGATCACTGCAGAATGAATTTACAGTCCTATCTGTCAAACAACAACTTCCCCAAATGACTAGGAATCGTAAATGTGCATCCTTGGCAAATCAAGATTAGTGCTATCCAATTAGAAATAGATACTGTAATTCCTACTGCATTTTAAATTCGAATGTAATTTATTAATTTAATTTGTAATTAAAATTTTTTCTAGTAGCCATGTTTTAGAATGGTAAAAAGAAACAGGTGACGTTGATTTTAATAATAATACATCTCTCATTGAACTCACTGTGTCAAAAATAGTTAAGAGGTACTTGACATTCATTTACTCCTAACAAAGTCTTTAGAAGTTGGAGCATTCTAGGCCTACTACATCACATCCCAGTTCTGACTAGGTACAGACCAAATGCTCAATAGCCACATGTGGCTAGTGACTCCTACTCCTCTAGATGAACATTGACTTTTGTAAGTCTGTCTTCTCTTGTGGTGCTGGTCATAGTGGTGGTAGTGGTGGTACCTGGAATCAAACCCAAGGCCTTGTACGTGCCAGGCAAGCACTCTACCACAGAACTACATCCCTAGCCTCCCCTGGGAGATGTGTGTGTGGTGGGGGGGAGGTGATCTGTTTGTTTCAGAATGGGATCTCACTACATAGCTTTGTCTAGTCCCAAACTTCTGATCTTCCCACGTGCTAGGATCCCAGAAGTATGCCACCATGCTCAGGCTGTTTACTGCCATTGTTAATCCCTACCTTTCTTTCTTTCTTTTTTTTTCCAGTAAATGTTTAGGGGGTTATAAGAAATTTGATTATCAGAACAGGGATACTCAATCTGGTATTTTGTTCCAAATTCTAAAAATTCCAAAATCTAAACTACTTCTCATCACACAAATAATTTTGGATAAGGAATAATTTGTCTGTGCATCCAAACATTTTATGATGATAAGTTCAGATTTCCTCTAAAGGAACTAGGTTAACAGCGCCAAACCTCCAGAAGCCATTCAGTGACGTGTGTGACAAAGTGGTAAGGAGAGAGGAAGAGGAGAGGGAGGGGGAGAGGGAGAGGGAAAGGGAGGGAGGGGGAGGAGAGAGAGAGAGAGAGAGAGAGAGAGAGAGAGAGAGAGAGAGAGAGAGAGAGAGAGCGAGCAAGAGCCATCGGGAGAGAAAAGGGGAGGGAGCCCTGTCTTCTAAAAGGCTGAATGCTTTGTGAGCTCTGTGCACCCTGTAGGTAGGAAGGGCCAATAAATCTCAGCATCAATGAATGCTTATACACTCTGCCAGGGGACTCCTGTGCTCAGCTAATCTGGGGTTTGAATTGCTGCTGGGCAGGATTGGGCAGAGAGCAGCTGACAGCACACTGAAGGCAGTAGTTGGCCAGCAGCCTCGATTGCCACAGCCGCTCATTAAGCCCCAGAGAACAATGAGGAAAGCCAGCTCTTGAGAGAGAGCAGGCCGGAGAGGAGCCTGCTGTGTTTCCTTAACTCTTCCAAACACTCACCCTCTTTGGAATCCTTTTTTTAGGTTCTGTGACCAAGACAAAGAAAATTTGTTTTAACTTCCCAATTTAACAGAAAATGCCAATTTGCTCATGTTTATAGAAGCAGAAAAACAAGTTTGAGCTGCTATAAATCAAAGAAAACAAATCAAATCAAATAACAAGCTTGCTGGCTGTGAATGTGGGTAAAACCTGACCAGTCGCTAAGCTACTAAGAACCAGGATTAAGGGTATTTGCAGAAAACAAGAAGTAAAGGTAGGCCGAAGACAGACAGACGTGTTTCTTTGGTAATTTGCAAGAGTAAGTTCAAATGAACTCCCTGATTCCTGAACACCAACAAACTAAACTCCAGCCTGGTACTGGGAAGAAACCAAAATGTGCATTCATTTCCTAACAAGTGTGGACTCTTCTTACGTTGTTACTTGATTTGTTCTGCTTTTGGGAAATTTAAAATGCCTATGTCTCTTTCTTTCATTGCTCAAGATGCATGAAACTCATTACTCAGATGTCAAATCACAAATCACTTCAGGTATCTAAAGAGAAGCCTTCAGAACTTGAAGTAAGGCCCATGGAACGTGAATAATTAGAACCCAAACAGGAAGAGTAGAAGCAGGGGTTGAGAGCAGAGCAGGGCCTTGCATATCTGGAGAAAAGGGTGGGCGGCAAGAGGGTGGAGAATTCAAATAGGATGAGGGAAAGAGGTATGTATCATCGAATGTTGAATGAGACAGGCCCAGTTCAAAGAACAAAACACTATATGTTTTCACTCACTCCTATGTGGGGGACTAGACCTGAAAGATATCACACTCATGGACATACACATATATACTCATATAGATAATTACATATTTATAGATAAATATAGAACCTTAGTCTAAGGGACTACTTAGGAGGAGAAGGGAAAGAGAGAGGTGGAAAGGGAAGAGGATGAATAATTTTGAAATACACTGTAAGTACACATGAAAACAGCACAAAGATCCTCAATAAAAAGTTATTGCTCAATAGAGAAATATGGATGTAGACAGAGCAGCGGACTGCTGTGGTGAGCAATGAAGGAAGGGAGCCAGGCTAGCAAAGAGGATGAAAGAGGTGGATGTAGTTGAAGCAGATCATTTGCAACTATGAAAATAGAGGAGTAAAAGCTGCGGGAAAGGGGGAGGGAGAGTGATAAAGGGGGTTAGAGTGGAATATATTATAAATATGTGTAGAAATAGAACAATGAAATCTTCTGTATAACAATGTAAGCTGATGTAAGCTGAGACAGAGAGGAAGAGAAGGAGAGAGGGAGAGGGAGAGGGGGAGACAGACAGACAGACAGACAGACAAAGTGAGAGAAGGAAGAGAGAAGGAAAGGAGACAGGGAAAGAGGGAGAAGGGAGAGGAAGATAGAGGGAAGGAGAAGGATGATTGAGGCCAGAATGTAAAAGCCTTTGGCAGGAAATGATAAAACATATCATTGTATATTCTACATTTTAGGTTGACTCTCTTAAGGATTAATGACCCAAAAAGGAGCCAGGCAAACATTATGACAGCATTAGATAAACATACATGGAACCCAGTGAAACACCATCTACCTCGGATATAAAACTCAGTCAATTCGTACCTCCTTCTGTTTTTTAATGATGACAGAGAACTCTGTGTACGGAATCCGAGGATTCAGCTCACATCCCATTAAGGTGGCTCCTTCATAATCCTTGATGTAGCCAACATATTTGGTTTTGGGTATTTTAATTTCTTTGGAGAAACCCTGCAAAGCAAATCCATTCGTTCATATGGACACTGGATCACATAGCTACTGAGTGCTAACAATATGCAGGCACAGAGAAAGGACTCCAGCATGCTTCCCTTCCATCTCCTTGACATACTAGGAAGAGGATTAGCTTGAAAACTACTCATGTCATTCAAATAGTGCAAACAGAAAATTATATAACACTTTAACATTATCCAAATAACAAGCCACCTGTGGCTCGTGCCACTGTAATCCTAATTACTTGGTAGTCTAAGAACCAGAGGATTGTAGTTTCTGGCTAGTCCAAGCAGAATGTGTCACAAGATCCCTTTGTGCCATCACTGGGCACAAAGATATACTTGACATCTCAAGCACAGTGGCAGCCTGGACATTTAATTTTTACTTAATAACTACGGCCATTTCAAAGTTTAAATGTATCTATTTCTTTCTTTTTTTTTGGGGGGTGGGGGGGTAGTACTACTGAGGTTTGAACTCAGAGCTTCAATCTTAACAGGCTGAAACTATGGAACTATTTGCTGAGCTATGCCTCCAATCTTGTTTTTCACTGGTTATTTTCAGGATAGAGCCTTACTTCCTGTTGTGATACCCATCCCATCTTCCCTGGGATGACAGGTACAAGCCCCCATGATCCAGCTTGACTATCACAGAGATGGAAGTCTCTCAGACTTGTCTACCTGAACACAGCCACACAGGGACACTTAACTTCCCTCCCTCCCTCCCTCCCTCTCTCTCTCTCTCTTAACCTCCCTCCCTCCCTCCCTCCCTCCCTCCCTCCCCTCTCTCTCTCCCTCCCTCTCTCTCTCTCTCATCTTTCTTTCTTCTCTTTTTTTGTTAGTCCTGGGGCTGGAAATCAGGGCCTGGGCACTGTCCCTGAGCTTCCTTTGCTCAAGGCTAGCCACCCTAGCCACACTTGAGCCACAGCGCCACTTCCAGCTTTTTCTGTTTATGTGGTGCTGAGGAATTGAACCCAGGTCTTTGTGCATGCTAGGCAAGCACTCTACTCACTAAGCCACAGTCCCAGCCACTTACCTGTTTCTTGAAGTATCCAATTGCATATTCGTCAGCGTATGTGAGGAAGTTGAGGATGTCGTGTTTTATGTGATATTCTTTCAGATGATTCATCAGGTGTGTTCCATAGCCCTGTGCACAAGTTAGCATGCAGACAAATGGATTAGGTCTTGGAGAAAAGAAAATCCTACAATCTTGCCAGGAAATGTTGGAAAACTGAAGAGATTGTGCTTGGAGATACATATGTGTGTGTGTGTGTGTGTGTGTGTGTGTGTGTGTGTGTGTGTGTGTGTGTGTGTGTGTGTGTGTGTGTGTGTGTGTGTGTGTGTGTGTGTATATATACATATACATATATATGATCATAACATATTTTTACCATAACATATATATGTGTATATTACCAACAGAGACTCTCCTGGGGGAAATCTAATATTAACAATTTATAACAATTTCTGAACTTTGAAAATAAGGGAGAGAACTACAAAAAATCTTCAAAATTCTTGGTTCAAGATAAAAAAACAACATTGGAAAATATGTTTTTGCTTCTTTGGCCATAATACACTGAAACTACAAACTCAGATACAAAAATTCCTAGCTAAAATGTTAAGTTTTCCTGGAGTAAATACTTTTAATGAATTTCTGCTTAATTTTGAAAGTATTTCAGAATCTTAGATTTAAAGAAGCGTATAAATGAAAAGTGCTAATGATCACTAGAAAATCACTAATCCAAGTGTTTTGCTCTGCATTACATAATATCAACCCTTCTAAAATTACTGTGGGATTTTTTCTTTTTCTTTTTTTTTTTTTTTTTGGTGCCAGTCCTGGGACTTAAACCCAGAATCTGGGTGCTGTCCCAGATTTTTTTTTGCTCAAGGCTAGTGTTCTACCACTTAAGCCACAGCTCTGCTTTCAGCTTTTTTTTTTTTTTTTTTTGGTGTTTAATTGAAGGAAGACTTTCCTGCCTGTGCTGACTTTGAACAGTGACTTCTCAGATCTCAGCCTCCTAAGTAGTTAGAATTACAGACCTGAGTGGGCCTGAGCGCCCAGCATACACAGAATTTCTAACCTGCTATCATCAGACCTTTTCAAGAAAGATCTGGGGATTGGGGGGGGGGGGGGGGGGGGGGGAGGGCACAGTTGGTAGATTGCTAGCCAATGAGCAAATCAGGCAATCAGGTACAGAGTTTGAGTCCTGGTCTCCAACCAAAAAACAAACAAACAAACAAGCAAAAAAGAATAAGGAAAAGAGGACTGGAAAAGCCAAGAATCTCCAGGTCAGCCAGAACACACTAGCTATGTAATTTTAGCTATATAATTTTATAGAGATAAATAGCTATATAATTTTAAACTTATCAAGACCAAGGAGTTTTAAGATGAAAAACATATTCTAAAACCTGATAAGGTGCTTCGGGCATATTTTCAAATATTACCTTTTATGTGTTCTTAAACCAGATAAACTCACATGAAAATATTAAAGTACTCACAGGAATTAAAAGATAACCTTGATTCACCTAAATGACTGGACAAAATTTTATTTCCTTTTACTTATACACACAGATATTATTTTGGGGTTTGAACTTAAGGCCTTGCTCTTGCTCAGCTGGTGTTCTACCACTTCAGCCACACCTCTGGCCCCTGGATATAATTTTAAAGACATAGCCACACATTTAATATAGTAAATACAGATTTGCTGACTTCACAAGCAAGTGCTACTAGCACTGGGATTCACTGAGTTTTACCCCACGGTGAAGCAGAATGTCTGTGTGTTCCAGTGTTCGGGGTTGGCAGATGCCTTTGAAAATCTAAGTATCTAAGGTAGTACCTGGCTCCGGAGTTGGTCATTAATTATTAACTAAAGACATGGGGCAATGAAAAGACAGGAAATTAATGATGTAACTGTTTCTCCCATTTCTATTTGCACTAAACAGTTGGTCCCTAAAAAGGTAATGTATACACATAATATCTTTCATCAATTTGTTCATCCTGTTCTATTTTGTAATATTAATCTTCATTTTCTAAAACGACACTTTCAGATCACTAACAAAGAAATGACTTTATTTTTCTAGGGCTTTCTACTGAATTTATGACATTTTTTTCCAACTTCATTCAAGTCTTTAAAATTTTACAGTGTAGGGAATACAATAAACTGCCCTTGTGAGAAGTAACAAGACAAAGCAGCAACTCATATTCTGTTTCCCTGTGGCATCCCTAAAAGTGTCCAAATCAACCTTAATTAACCTTTCCAAACAAGGTGCTTGCTATAACCGTGTGCCTCTGTGTGTGTCTATGTGTCTGTGTGTCTCTGTGTGTCTCTGTCTCTCTGTTTCTGTCTTGTCTGTCTCTCGCTCTCTCTCTCTCTCAGATGCATGCACTTGTGCATGCTAGACCTGGGGCTTCAACTCAGGGCCTGGGTGCTGTCCCTAAGCTTTTATGCTTAAGTTTAGCTCTCTACAACTTAAACCACACACAGCCCTCCTTCCTGATTTATGGTAATTAATTGGAGATAAGAGTCTCAAGGACTTTCTTGCCTGGACTGGCCTTGAACCACAATCCTTAGATCTCAGCCTCCAGAGTAGATAGGATTACAGGAGTGAGCCACCAGTGCCTAGTTCTTGTATACCTATCTCTAAAAACACAATTTATACAATTGAGCCAGGTGGGCATGCCTGTAATCTTAGCGCTTGGAAGGAAGTAGGAGAATCAAGAATTCAAAGATAGCCAGGGAAGGGGAGGGAAGGGAAGGGGAAGGAAGGGGAGGGGAGGAGAGGGGAGGGGAGGGGAGGGGAGGGGAGGGGAGGGGAGGGGAGGGGAGGGGAGGGGAGGGGAGGGAAGGGAAGGGAAGGGAAGGGAAGGGAAGGGAAGGGAAGGGAAGGGAAGGGAAGGGAAGGGAAGGGAAGGGAGAAAAAGTAAGGGAAGGGAAGGGAGAAAAAGTAAGTGTTATACAACCTCTATGAACAGTTAAAATTGCCTTAAAGTCCTAAACTCTAGATGTTTAGAAACACCTGGGTACTTGAACATTTCTCACTTTGCTGGGGGAGGGAAGAATGTAACAGTACAAATAATACCATTTAAAGACATACTGTCAGAATCCTTTGGAAAACAGAGTCTCCAATAAATTTAGTTCTTTATTTCCCCAATCCAAATAGTAAGACCTGACTTACTTGGTCCTGGATGTGCTCACACACCTCCACTGTGCTTTGTGAGAATAAACACTTCACAGAAGCCACAATGGCGACTGTGGTCAGAGAACAAGGTTGCTACTGAAATCAGAGGTACCCAATGTCTTTGAGCAGAGAATACTCATTCTTTGTTTTTGTGAATGACACAGTTTCTTTGAGGAAGGAATCAACCACATATTTCATCCTTCACTGCTCAATACAGGAGCCAGGGTCCACATGTGTCTTATTGAAATATAGTTCATCCAAATTGATACATACTAGAAGTGTAAAATATACAATTGATTTCAAAGACTTAGTAACAAAAAAATAAAAAAAAAAAACAAAAAAAAAGAACCCAAAAGGTCTCAAAAATATTTCATAACATTGAATTCTGGGCAAAACAAAATATTATTAATAACTAATCTCACCTGTTTCCACTTGCTTCTCTTTAAAATGTGGCTATTAGAAGATTTAATAGCTCATCTATGCAATCACTGCAACGTTTCAGCTTACAATAGGCCTCTACTGGACATTATCTTAGACCATGCAATCATTCTTCTCATCTTTCCACCACCCACAATAATATTTTTCCATGGTAGCTTTTAGAGCTCCCTGAATACTCAATGCATAATCTTCTCAGGATTTATTTCTGATTCCCTGTTTCCTCAGAGCAGCAGAGGAGGTCATTACATAATCTAGATAGGACCTCTTTTTGTCACATGGGTTGTCTAGCCAGACCAACTACAACAGCAATAAAACAGCCACACCTGCCAGGGAGGAAGGGATTCATGCCCAGGATAAGGGGAGATAAGTTAACAAGTAGGGAAAATAAAAACTCCAACACATTCCAAACCCTACAAGAATGCTGATTCATGAATGCACTCAAATTCTTCATAACTTCCTTTATAGAAGTACTTTAGGAATCATAGAATCTTTCTGTAGTCTAACTGGCTAAATCACCTTCCTAATCCAGATCAATTACAACCTTTCTGGTGGCTTGATGATACCGTGTGTGTGTGTGTGTGTGTGTGTGTGTGTGTGTGTGTGTGTGTGTGTGTGTGTGTGTGTGTGTGTGTGTGTGTGTGTGTGTGTGTGTGTGTGTTAAACACTGAGCGTTACTTTCAAAGCTCTCTTCATTGGCTACAGAGTACACTTCAGGTACATCATGAATTGCACAGTGAGGGTGCGTTTTGACAACCCAACTTTCCTCTTCTCTCCCCCATGTCTGTCTTACATGAACACACAGTTAGAGTAAGAAGACTCGTCTCAGAAAACCATGAGCTCTATTTGCAGTCTTCTCTGAACACAGAATAGAGAGAGTTTCTCCAAGCTTCACAGCTTTGGTGCAAACCCCACACTCTGCTTTTCTTCTAAGACCCTGGGTTTTCCTTACCTTGACTTGCTCATTTGAAGTTACAGCACAGAAAACAATCTCTGTGAATCCCTGGGATGGGAACATACGGAAACAGATACCACCAATAACACGGCCATCTTTAATTAAAGCAAGGGTTTTGTGTTTCCTGAAAGGATAAAATTATATCAAAGTCTTACCAATCTTGGTTTTATAAGGATGCTCTGGGTGATCACTAACTAACCAAAGGGGGGGGGGGAGATATGTCTTGAATTTCTGTGGGAACTTCCTTCATTCTAGTCACTATACTTTTACCTAGGACTTGACAACAAAAGACATCATCAGAGCACCCACCAGAACAAAATTGAATGTCCTCTAGTAAGTTTCAATGTCTAAAAGTAGCAAGAAAGTATGTGTGGAGGTGTTTTGGAACTGGCATACCCTATGCCCAGGGAACCATGGTGAGAATCAAGAAGAGAGCTCAAAGTCATGACAAACGTGATACACACTTCTGCAGTTAATTCTTTTTCTTTCTTTTTTTTTTTTTTTTTGGGTCCGGTCATGGGGCCTGAACTCTGGGCCTGGGCGCTGTCCCTCAGCTCTTCAGCTCAAGGCTAGTGCTCTACCACTTGAGCCACAGTGCCACTTCCGGCTTTTTTCTTTTTGCTTATGTGGTGCTGAGGAATCGAACCCAGGGCCTCAGGCATGCAAGGCAAGCGCTCTACCTGATCTGTAATGTTTTTGAGTAAGAATTAACTGCAGAGGGTCTGGGAAGGTGGCTCAGGTAGAGCGCTTGCCTTGCATGCATGAGGCCCTTGGTTCGATTCCTCAGCGCCACATAAGCAAAAAGAAAAAAGCCAGAAGTGGCGCTGTGGCTCAAGTGGTAGAGCGCTAGCCTTGAGCTGAAGAGCTGAGGGACAGCGCCCAGGCCCAGAGTTCAGGCCCCAGGACCGGATCAAGAAAAAAAAAAAAAACATTACAGATCAGGCACCACAGTAGTTAATCCAAGAATGAGTGGATTACCAAAAAGCTAATATAGCTTCTAAGTGTGTATACTGCTAAATGAATGGAGTACAGGACAGCCAAATAGTAACTTAAAATACAGAGCATGTTAACAAGAACATTTTAAGCTGAGCACCAGAGGCTCATGCCTATAATCCTACCTACTCAGGAGACTGAGATCTGAGGATCACAGTTCAAACCAGCCTAGATAGAAAACTCCATGAGACTCTCATCTCCAATTAACTACCAATAAAGAAGCCAGAAGTGCAGCTGTGGCTCAAGTGGGAGAGCACCAGCCCTGAGGACAGTACCCAAGCTTTGGGATCAAGGGGGGCAGGGAAACAGAGAAGGAAGAGCTTACGGGTCAAAGACAAGCCGTGTGATATACTCTTTTGGCATTCGGGGCAGCTGATGGGAGAAGACGTTCTGTAGACCAACCAGCCACATCAGAATCTTCTTGTTTGGTTTCTGGTTCAGGGAATTGCCAACCACATGGAATTCAATGACACCCCTGCGCTCTTCCAGCCTCGCTGCCTCGTCCCTGGCTGAGTGTGCCGACAGAAAATTGGTCTAGGATGCAGGAGACAGGAAAAGGTCACACACAGCTACTCTGTGAAGGCAATGGCACATCAAAGCTTCTCTTCTTTGTTCTAGTCAGGTACGCGTTTGCGGATTTCCAGGGCGCAAATACACACACATGCATGCAGACACACATGCATGAACACGCACACACATTCCTCAAGTCTTGAAGACAAAATAGAAAAGATAAGTAAAGCAGTGGGAGAAATCTGAGGACCACCAAGGTGCCAGATAAGCTATCAGCCAATTTTTCCATCATGTGCCTGAGAAAAAACATCTTAGACTGTTTGAGCCATAAGATCTCTGTCTTCACTTCTCAACTGTTATTACAGTACAAAGGCAGATACAGATGCTCTGTTAAGGAACAGATGTACTAAAAGAATAGGTGCATTAGTACTCCAGTTAAGACTTTAGCTAGAACACAAAATAAAACAGAGTAAATCACATTTGGCCTATGGGCCATAGTTTGCCAGTCCCTTGTTTAAAAACATAATAATAATAATCTCATTTACTTCAGCTTTAAAAGACCCATTGTGATGACAGATCCCAAATTCTCATAAAAGACCAAAACACAGTGGTCACATTCCTATTTTAGCACCTCTTTTCAGAGAACAGTTTTCTTTGCTAAGGAGTATCTGTTGACCCTCACTAAACCACAGCAGACATTACAGCAAGGGCCGGTACTCTGTGTTCCTCGTCTTATTTAATCCATCAGTGCAGTGCAGGGAAATAAATGTTCCACAAACAGCTCTTCAGGGAGGAAAAGTCCTAACTGGTAGCACTTTGCTGCTTTCATTGGTCTACAGTAGCTGGATGGCCATGTGACCAGGCACCACTGTGATCAATTTCAAGCCACCAAGCTATTTAACAACCAGCTTAGAAAACTCCTAAAATTTAACTGCTTGCTTCCATGCATGCGCCAGTACCAGCCAGTTCCACACACTACGAAATCCATCTAACAAATTTCAACCATGATTGCAGTCCACTTTAGAACTCAAAACACTAAGATCAGTGAAAATATTCAATCCTTAAAAGACTAAGAGAAGAAGCTGGGCACCAGTGGCTCACACCTATAATCCTAGCTACTCAGGACGCAGAGCCTGGGCAGAAAGTCTGTGTGAGACCCTTATTTCCAATTAACCACCAGAAAACCAGAAGTGGTGCTGTAGCTCAAGTGGTAAAGTGCTATAGCCCCTATAGCTCAGGGATAGTGCCCAGGCCCAGAGTTCAAGGCAGACAACCGACAAAAAAAAAGACTCAGAGAAGAGAAGAACAAGTGCTTGAAGTCCTCACAGACCAAACATCACAATGGGAAAGAATAATCGTATGAAGAGATCTATTATTATTATTTTGAGGGAGCAGCACTGGGGGTTAAACTCGGAGTATTATGTTCTCCCTGGCACTCTGCCACTTGAGTCACAACTCCACTTCTGGCTTTTTGGCGAATAATTTGAGATACAAGTCTCACAGAATTTTCTGCCAGGGCTGGCTCTGAACCACAATCCTCAAATCTCAGCCTCCTGAGCAGCTAGGATTACAGGCATAAGGCATCAGTGCCTAGCTTTATTATTATTATTTTGTGGTGCCAGGGATTAAACCCGGGGCCTCATGTAGGTTAGGCTTTAACCCTAGTCCATGAGGATATATTTCTACTAAAACAGTCCAGTTCTCTGAATTAACCTCAATATCACAGAATACCTAAAAAAAAAAAAAAAATGGCAAAGCAAAACTTAATCTTTTTTTTTATTGAATAGAGCTATAGTAAGAAGATATAAAAATTGTTGATAAAATAATATCCAGGCCATTTCTCCCATGGCTTAAGCCACTCTGCAATAAGTATCATGTAACAAGATAGCAGCAGTACTTTTACTAAAAGTGCTTGAATCTAATAACCAGTAAGCAAAGACAAATTCAAATAGACAGCAAAAGTGGTGACCAAGAATCAACAACAACATATCAAAAGGCCAAGAAAAAGCTGGAAAATTACTGCTTTAAAGTAAAGAGACTTAGCAGACTAGGAATATAGCTGAGTGTAGTGTGTTTTCCTCGCATACTAAGGCCGTGGGTTCAACCTGGAGCACCGCCCACAAAAAGAGAGACACTTAAAAGCATGAGGAAATCAAAGTTAGATGCAATGCTTTGTTCCCTAGTTGATCCTTCAACAACAGCAATAATTGTGACAAAGGACACCATTTAGACCGATGGGGAATTTAGATATGGGATGTATATTACACCAGGGCCAGCAAACTTTTCAATACAAGGTAGGAGGGGTGTATTTTATGCTTTTGAGATGCATATATTTGGCAGATCCCAGTTACTCAAACCTGCTACTACATGCAAAGACAGCCACACATAGGAGCCTCCTGCTGCTCTGGAGGCTGACATGGGAGAGTCACTTGAGCCACAAATTTGAGTCCATGCACTGGTGGCTCACACCTGTAATCCTAGTTACTCAGGAGGCAGAGATCTAACCATCGAGACTCAAAGTCAATGGGAGAAGGAAAGTCCAGGTGATTCTTATCTCTAACTGCCAAAAACCAGATATGGAGCTGTGGTTCAGTTGGTGAAATGCTAGCCTTGAACGAAAGGAAGGAAGGAAGGAAGGAAGGAAGGAAGGAAGGAAGGAAGGAAGGAAGGAAGGAAGGAAGGAAGGAAGGAAGGAAGGAAGGAAGGAAGGAAGGAAGGAAGGAAAGAAGGAAAATGCTGGAATGCTAGATCCAGTTTGTGGACTATAGTCTGCAACCTTATATTAGAAAACTTTATAACCAAATTTTCTGAGTGCTAACTTTGCTAAGAGTGCTAATATGCCAAGCTAAATGTTCTAAGAGTGCTAACTGCATTGTGATTTTGAAAGTGAATATCGTTGCTCCTATGAAAGCTAAGGGTAAAGTGTTTATCTCTTTTCAACTCTGAAGCCATTCTAAATGGTTCACAAGAGAGAAAAGCAGATTTATAGAGTGAAATGGGGCCTAATGTTAACAACTAGAGGGATCTAGAAGTCCAGAGTTTTGTTTTATGTTTTGAACCACAGATATTCTGTAACGTTTTCCGGGTTAGAAATACATCAAGATAAAAAGAGTTGCAACTGTGAGAGATTATTAGCATGAGGCTCTGTGATGTGATATTCTTTGAAGGAAATGATCTCTTGACTAGCCAACCCTGCCCTTCCCACCTGGACCACCAGGGTCCATGCAAACCTAGACAGAAGGCTAATTCTCTGCTGACAACAGAAGGCTTCATTTCTGAGAGCTTAAGGGGCTGGAAGAACAGGAGACGCCTACCAGCTCCCAGATGCCGTTTGCCCTGCTCACCTCTGGCCCGAGCATGGTTGCAGGGTCTGTGATGGTGGACATGACCTCATGAATCAACTCCACTGGAATATCCCCCATAACCCGGGGTCTTTTGGCCTCTTCTAGAATGTGAGAGTCATTCATTTTCCTCTTCTCTCCTACAAAGATCAAAATTTAGAAGGCAAACGATAGGTACACATCATATACACATAAAACAAAATGTGAATGCCCACTGATACAACTAATTTCCTAACAGAGTTGACGGAATGGAGGTCAATATCCTCTGTGACAGAGGAAAGGGGGGGGGGGGCAGTAAAAGATGGGAAAGTGATGGGCGGGGTCATAATAATTGCCAATCACAGATCCATTTTCTCCATCTGGGTGTCCTCTCTTTTACCCCTCTTAAGAGCTTACCTTGGTTTGCTTCAAGCCCAGATGACTTGCAGGCAGGACTCGTGCTACCTCCATTTGGCTGCTCCAGGGAAGATGAGTTTGAATTGTATGACACTGTCCCAGCCACAGGAGGTGGATTAATAACTGCCCCAAGAAAAGGGGGAAAAAAATATGAGATGACTATGTGCATAGGCAACAAGGAAACAAGAACACCTGAAACCAACACCATAGAAAGTCATCTTTAAACTAAAAACCACTTAACATCAAGATGGTAAGAACAGAAGCCAGGCTCTAATGGCTCACACCTGTAATCTTAGCTACTCAGGAGGCTCGAATCTGAGGATCTTGGCTCAAGGCCAAGAAAGTCTCTGAGATTCTTCAAGTGACGACCATAAAACTCCAAGTAGAGCTGTGGCTCACGTGTTACAGCACTAGTCTTGACTAAAAAAGCCAAGGGACAGTAGCATCCAGGTCCTGGATTCAAGCCCCGGTACTGGCAAAACATAATTAATCAAAAATAAAGCCTGGGGAAACAAGTAGCAATACGAAGCCAGCCCAAGCAGATAATGGCATAAGCCCCGTTCTCAACCCATAGGAGCCCCTGTCATCTCAGCAATGGCAGAGGCTGAGACTGGGAGAATCAAGATACTAGATTAGCCCCAGCAAGAAAGCTGATGAGACTCCATCTCCGTAGAGTTCCCTGGACATTGCGGTATCTCTATGATCCCAGCAACTACAGGAAGCCTGGAAGGAGGTAGAGTATGGCACAGGCACACACATCTAGGCAGACAGCAAAACCCTATCTTAAAAACAACCAGGGGAGGGAGTGGCGCTGTGGCTCAAGTGGTAGAGCACTAGCCTTGAGCTGAAGAGCTGAGGGACAGCGCCCAGGCCCAGAGTTCAAGCCCCACGACATACAAAACAACAACAACAACAACAACAACAACCAGGGATAAAACGAGGCTGAAGGGGTAGCTCAAGTTATACAAGTCCCTGAGTTCAAACCCCAGGAAGGCCCCCAAAATAAAATCCACTTAAGTGCCAGGCTATATGTTTTGGGTTTTTTTTTTTCCTTGTAGCACCCAGGCCTTCTGAATTTCAAAGTACACTGAGATGGATTTTATCAAAGAGGAAGCGCGGATGATTCAGAAGACATCTTAAGAGTATCTTGCAAAACTTTAGAGCCATCATTATAAATGTCATTCTCACAGTTGCATAGATGTGCAGACATGCCAATTAAGAAGACAATTACACTCTTCTCGCCCCTGAAGAGAACACATTGCAATTACGACGAAACACAAGACAGCTTGCTTCTGATAGCCTTCAGGTTAAGACTGAAGTGTACTCTTCAGCTTAACTGGGCACAACCTTAAAAACAACAACAACAACAAAAATAACAAAAAATAAGCTTAAAATTCCCATGCAGCCAGAGATCACCGCTGCCTGCTCCAGCCTGTGTATGGAATGGCAGATAACATGTGGCCAGAAGCAGAGCAGACAGGGAAGATTCTGAGCAGGCACAGATCAAAGGGAGTTCTCACTCACAAAGCAACCCTCTCTGGAGGCCCTCAATAAGTGAACTAAGTGGACCCTGCTGAACAGCTTTGATGTTCCAAGCCCGAGGGAGGAAGCAGTGTTCATTCTCTGCTCATTCTTTCCCCAAGCCGGCGACGCTGAACACTAGCCCACGCCACAGGAGAGCACTTAGTGCTTGTTCTGGCTTCTCATGTCCTACAGGAGTCAGGAACTAGGCGTGGGAGTGGAACCCAATGCCATCTCATAGAAAATCTGGTCTAGGGCAACTTGTTAACCTTCTCTGATCTTCTATGTCCTCCAAGTAAAAGGGATATTAATTCTAGTTTCCTAGAGTTTGTCAGGAGGAAGTTTCAGAGGCAAAGTACTCTGACAGTATCTGTTATTGTTGTGGTGGTAAAACTGGGCCTCTGACCATCTAAGACTTGCATTCATATTAGAAATATGGACCTAGGGCAACATGAGTATGATATTACACAATAGTTCTCAGATATGCTTGCACATTCAAATCAACCGGCTGGGAAGGTGGCTTATTGGTAGAGTGCTCGCCTAGCATGCATGAAGCCTTGGGTTCAATTCCTCAGTACCACATAAACAGAAAAGATTGGAAGTGGTGCTGTGGCTCAAGTGGTAGAGTATTAGCCTTGAGCAAAAGAATCTCAGGGACAGTGCCCAGGCTCTGAGTTCAAGCCCCAGGACTAGCAATAAATAAATAAAATAAAATCACCTAAAGCTTTTAAAAAGTCCACAATGTCCAGCAACAACCCAGACTAAGAAAATCATGTTCTCTTATAGTGTCACAAATATCCATGGATGGTTCCATTGTACAGTCATGTTTCACTACCCAGAACAGGATACATATGGTCCAGTTTCTAGGAAAGATGGGCTCTGAGGGTTCACACCTTTAACTCCAGCTACTCAGGAAGCTGAAATCTGAGGACTGTGGTTCCAAGCCAGTCTGGACAGGAAAGTCCATGAGACTCTTATCTCCAAGTAACCACCATAAAGCTGGAAGGGGAGGTGTGGTTGAGATGGTAGATCACCAGCTTCGATCAGAAAACACCAAGAAAGAATGCAAGACCTTGAGTTTGAGGTTCTGAGTTTAAGTTCTAGTACTGGTACCCCACCCCACTCCCCTCCACACACACATACATACAAAAGATTGTAGGAATCTCTGAAAGAAGGGAGCTCTAGTGCTTGCTGGGGAACAGGTGAGGAATTAGGCAACTGAGGGAGAGGTGGCATCCGAATGCTAGGTAAGATCAGGACAAAGGTGAAGTGAATTGCACAGGTCCAAAGAGAAATACAGTGGACATCTCCAGGAACCACACAGTATGCCCAGTCAACTCTTGACTGTGCAGTTCTACAGAGGAGACAGCACTACACACACATAGACCTTAGCGCATACTAAGGGTTTTAAGCATAAGAAACATTAAATTATGACCTAAAGTAAAAAAAGACACAGGACAAGTTTGGTAGCAAACATTCAAACAAAACAGGTTTTGATTCAAATCAAAATACCTCATTCCCTAAGCACTGTGATTTACAGGGATTTGATTACATATATCCAAGGTTGGGCAATAGATTTTAAAATAATAATTAAACAAACATCTCAAATGTTTTTGCTGACCGAAAGTAATTGGACTCAAAAAACTATATACTATATGATCTCTTCCATTTGATATTCTGGAAGACTAGACTGCATCAGATAAAAGGTTGCCAGGGCTGGGGTAGAATGATGAATGCCCTACAAAGGGTACAGATGATCTGTCCAGAGTAATGCAACTGCACCATATTTGATAGTAATACCCAACTGTATATGCTTGCTAAAACTCATGGTAGCCTGGCACCTGTGGCATACATCTGTAATCCTGGCTACTCAGGAGGCTGAGATCTGAGGATCTCGGTTCAAAGTAAGTCTGGGCAGGAAAGTTTATGAGACTCTTATCCCCAGTTAACCACCAAAGGGACAGAAGTGTATTTGGGGCTCAAGGAGTAGAGTGCAAGTCTTGAGCAAATAGCTCAGGGACAGTGCCCAGGCCTGAATTCAAGCCCCAGTATCAGCACAAAAGAACAACAACAACAAAAAACATAAACCCCTGTGGCATACTAAGAAATGATGAGTTTTTATTTTTTAGATTTTTACATTTTAATTGTAAAGGTGATGTACAGAAGGGTTAGTTACATAAGTGAGGTAATGAGTAAATTTTCGTTTGAACAGTGTTACCCCATCTCTCATTCTCTCCAAGTTTTTCCCCTTCCAGCTTCCCTCTTCCCCAAGTTGTATAGTGCCTAGTGGGTTTCACAATGAGGTTTTAAAATAGTGAGATTATGCCTAAAATTCTTCTTAAGAATAAAATTACCTTTCCTGGATACAACCATCGCAAGTCAACATATTACCAATAACTAGAGTTCTCAAACAAAACAAAACAAAACACCCAAACCTTGATATCAAAGCGAAGACTTCTGTCTTGTGCCATCGCCAGCCATCAATTCATGTTCTGGTATTTCTACCAGGCTCCGTTGAGTGTGACTCATGCCAAAGGCAGGAACCATAATGATCAAAAAGGCAGCCGTCTCCTTCCCTTACAAGACGCCATTTGAAGCCACTGGCCAACTGGAGGGAACACTTCACATCCCTAGACCCAAGACCACTCTCTTCTCACTATGGCACCATTACCCTCATAGTAAATTTGTGCATGAAACAGACATCATGGATGAGTTAGACTGATTCCTAGATATATCCAGCCATTGGCTGGGCCTTTAAGTGGCTTCAGAAAGAGCCAGTGTTTGGCTACAAGGCTGAGCTGCCTGGCATTTTATACTTCCCATTAAACTGTAATGAGCAAGCCATGCCTTCCTGCACATACTACTATTTTAACTATTTAGTTCACTCCTGCACTTCGCATCCACAAAGACATAACTGCAAGATTTTGGTTTATACTCACTTTCTCCTCATTAACATTAATGCAAAGGAAGATTTGTGAAAATATTTGCCTTTGCGTTTTTGTTTCTTTTCCTAATGAAAAACCACAAATAAATGCAATGAGAGCTACAACTAACACTTCAGGTTGACCTTCGTAGCTGCTCTCTGAGATCTGTGAAAAGAAATTTGCCTATAGCCACGTACCAGTGGCTCATGCCTGGAGTCCTAGCTACTCAGGAGGCTGAGATCTGAGGATCACAGTTCAAGCCAATCAAGGCAGAGATTCTTATCTCCAATTAATCACCAAAAAAGCCAAAAGTAGAGGATGGCTCAGGTGTTTGAGCAAGAATGCTAAAGGATAGTACCCAGCTTCTGAACTCCAGTACTGGCACAAAGAAAAAGGAAAAGGAAACAGGAAGGAAGGAAGGAGGGAGGGAAGGAGGGAAGGAGGGAAGGAGGGAAGGAGGGAAGGAAGGAAGGAAGGAAGGAAGGAAGGAAGGAAGGAAGGAAGGAAGGAAGGAAAAGGAAGGAAGGAAGGAAGGAAGGAAGGAAGGAAGGAAGGGAGCTCACCTGTTTGGATTCCTAGCTGACTGGTTCTAGAAGAGACTGAGAGAAAATCCTGATCCCAAATGGGAGAGTTTTGACTATAAACTTCTTCTTCCAACATGGACAGAAACCTAGACACAAAAATAAAATCAAGATTAAAAAAAAAAACCTTAATGTATTACTAGAGAGGCAAAAGCCCTAGAGACATTTGACAATCCCCCTAACATTGGGGTCTGGTTTTCAATTCAGAAATATCCTAGAGAGTGTGAACTAAAATGATGACATCATTGGGCAGTTCTGGTCTCTTCTAAGACAGAAACACCTTCCCATACATTTATTTTGACTTATCACACATACACTGCAACACAATAAGTAGTGTTGGAAGGGGTTGATGTGCATTAATTTACCAGATTGTTATAAGGACAGTTGAAACAGAATCATTACTACATGCATTTTGCAGATGAAAAGGACCAAGTACAGAGAGGTTAAATAACTGTCAAATTCCCACCCTGAAGCCAGGTGCTGGTTGCTCATGACTATAATATTGGGGACTCAGGAGGCTGAGATCAGTGGATCTTGGCTCAGAGCCAGCTGGGGAAGTAAAGTCTAGAAAACTCTCCTCTCCAATTAACCACCAAAAAAAGCCAAAAGTGGAGGTGTAGCTCATGTGGTAGAGTCCCAGCCTCGAATGAAAAGGCAAATAGAAGCTTCCAGGTCCCAGAGTACTACTGCATACACACCAGTCCCAGTACTGGTGCACACACACACAAAAAAAATTGACAAATACAACAGTGAGGACAGAATTGTGACCAGCAATTCATTATTATTTTATCTTCTCACCATGTTATAAAGCAAAGTTTTGGGACCCATAAGTAACACCTGGAAATGCTGGTAGAAACAGACACTCAACCAAGTACTGGTGGTTCACATCTGTTATCCTAGCTACTGAAGAGGCCAAGATCTGAGGATCCAAGTGTGAAAGCTATCTAGAAAAATAAAACTCTATCACTAATAAGAGAACAAAAATCAGGACTGGAAGTATGGATCGAATAGAAGAGCATCAGCTATGACCAATTAACTGGCAAAAAGTTGGATTGGATAGATAAACTATAGAATCAACCTAGGTGCCCATCAAACGATGAAGAAATAACAAATGGGGGCTGGGAAGTTGGCTCAGTGGTAGAGCGCTTGCCTTGCATGCCTGAGGCCCTGGGTTCGATTCCTCAGCACCACATAAGCAAAAAGAAAAAAGCCGGAAGTGGCGCTGTGGCTCAAGTGGTAGAGCGCTAGCCTTGAGCTGAAGAGCTAAGGGACAGCGCTCAGGCCCAGAGTTCAGGCCCCACGACCGGACCCAAAAAAAAAAAAAAAAGAAATAACAAATGGGAAATAAGGATAAAGGAAAAAGATACTGGGAGATAGAGATAAGGGATAAAGAACATTCAGTAGACACATACAATGGAGTAGTATTCAATCCTAAAGAATGATCCAGGTGTGGTGGCTCACACCTGTAATTCCAGATGGCCATGAGGCAGACTTTCAGTTCAACCCCTCACTGTGTACACTAATAAAACACTGTTCAAAAAGAAGTGTACTCATTGCCTGACACATAACTGTAACCCCTCTGCACATCATCTTTACAATAAAATTTTAAAAAATAATTTTAAAAAAGTTGGATTGGAGGTGTGGTTGAAGTGGTACACTAGCCAGGACCAATTAATCAGCAAAACTGAACTGGAGATATGGCTAAAGTGCTAGAACATCATCTGTGACTGAAAAAGCCAAGCCAAAGTGTGTGGGCCTGAATCAAGCCCCAGTGCTGGCAGGAGAGAGGGAAGGAAGAAAGGAAGGACAGGAGGGAGGGAGGGAAGGTAGGTGGACAGGCAGATATTCAAGTCTCACCTAGGCTTATTGAGTTTCTTTCTCTAATACATAAATGAAAAATAGAAATATCTAAAAGTATTTCAGCGTACATTTTTCAAGCTGTACATTTACTTCTTTTAGAATGACACTGTGGGGCCTATTAACTCATACCCCACACTCAGGAGGCTGGGCTATGGAACAAGACCCATCTCAAAAAGATAAAACAGGGGCTGGGAAGGTGGCTCAGTGGAAGAGTGCTTGCCTTGCATGCATGAGGCCCTGGGTTCGATTCCTCAGCACCACATAAGCAGAATGGTGCTGTGGCTCAAGTGGTAGAGCACTAGCCTTGAGCTGAAGAGCTGAGGGACAGCGGCCAGGCTGTTTTGTTCAGACAAACCAAACAGGCTGGACACTGATGGCTCACACTTATAATCCTAGTTACTCAGGAGACTTAGATCTGAGGAACATGATTCAAAGCCAGCCTGCAGAGGAAAAGTCCGTGAGACTCTTATCTCCAATTAACCACCAGAAAACATGAAAGTGGACCTGTGGCTCAAGAGGTAGAGAGCTAGTGTTGAGCAAAAAGGCTCAGGGACAGTGCCCAGGCCTTGTGTTCAAGCCCCACAACTGACAAGAAAGATGGAAAGAAGGAAAGAAGAAGGAAAGAAGGAAAGAAAGAAAGAAAGAAAGGAAGGAAGGAAGGAAGGAAGGAAGGAAGGAAGGAAGGAAGGAAGGAAAGGAAGGAAGGAAGGAAGGAAGGAAGGAAGGAAGGAAGGAAGGAAGGAAGGAAGGAAGGAAGGAAGGAAGGAAGGAAGGAAGAGACAAACAACTAAAAAAAATGAAATACAGAAATCAGCCATTAGAAAATTGTAAATAATTTGTAGATTAGGGAGAGGAAGGCACTAGTTAAAGAAGAGAAAGCATACAAGGATAGAAAAGATGGGGGTCTGAACTTTGAACATGCATCAGAGAATCAGAGGCCCCACTGGGTCACTGGGTGCTGGGATGTGGGTCCTAACTCTCACCCAGAAACAGAGATCAAGACTCAAATAAGCACCGTCAGACCACAGTAAGTGTGATTCTACTGCCAGAGCTGTTGGTATAGATCCACAATGGTCTCAGATGTTGTCATATTTGATGAAAAAGGATTTAAGAGGAGAAGTAGGTGGTAGTTTTTACCCTACCATTAGTAGCAAAAGAAAACTCAATAGCATAAGCATGCCAAAACTATGGGTTGAAGGAACAAAACACACTATAATTAGCAAATATCTGCAAGATGCATTTGCTATGGGGGAAAAAAAACTTACTATGCAAAGTAATTAAGATTTCTCTTTTACTACCCTAATGTTGGGGTGGGAGGGTCCTTCTTTGTCCTTTGACCATTAACACAATGACAACTATCACATAAAAATATAAATGCCACTTATGTAGCAACTGTAATGGTGAAATAAGTAAAATGGCTTTAATATTTTGGAAAGGAATATATCTGAAAGACAGCCACTGAATATATTCGCATGCCCAGAAATCATACTATGACTTAGGGAGACTTTCAAACTTTGGCCTAAGTGCTTCAGAAAACACTAAAACATTCAGGTCACCCATTTCCCGTATTGGTTTTCTGGCAGTGGAGCTGTGACTCGAGTGGTAGAGTACCAGCCTTGAGAAAAAAAAAAAAAAGGAAAAAAAAGCTAAGGGACAGCGCCCAGGCTCTGAGTTTAGGGACACACCTAAAACAAAATGGAAGCTCACTATAGAAAATGGTCCATGTGTGGGGGGAAAGATGGGAGATGCTAAGAAAAGATTCATTGACGATTCACAAAGGGAGTCAGGGTCCTTTATCTCTCTCCTCTTTGGATGCTTTTCTGTCATTCTTGATTTTATTATTTATGCAATCTTTGGTATATGTATTTGGCAACCTCAAGTTGCTAAATGGAATCAACCCAACCACGTGGAGAGTTCTCCCCTTACTTTGGGAAATGTGTGAGGATTAGGGTTCGTTTCTCCAGAGGCAGTTTGTCCTTTTCCTGTCTTGCTTGTTCCAGGAGTTGTCGCCTCATAATGGTGAAAACTGAGCGAAGCAACGTTCTCCCGAACACCTTGGTGGTCTCGTACCGAGGTAGACTGTCACAGAACTGCGGCACATTGCAGTAACACAGCCATCTGCAACAAGAAGAGACAAGTACCGTCAAGACAAATACCGGACTCTAAACATGGCTAACCACAGCAGACAAAACCAAGTCTTCAGAGTGCTGATCCAAGATACTAGTCACTAGCTAGTGAAACTTGGGCTTAGATTCAACCCCTCCCCATCCCCCCCAACACACACACTAGTACTTAGAGCTGAGTCTATTGGGAACATCGGACTCTACCAGGCCGCAAGTCCTTGGATCCAATTACCACTTTGAAACTTAACTGACTACCTTGCTTTGGAAATTTTTATGTTCTTCAGTCTCTACTTCCTTACCTAGATAACAGGCACAATGATAGCATGTCACTGGGTTTGTGGATTGCTAAATCACCTGCATGATATGATTATGTTTAAAAAAAAACCAGAAAGTTGAGGAAAGAAGCTTTCCTTTGAGGAGAGAAGCAGAATCCCGCTACCTAGTCCCAAGTAAAATGTAAAGTTTCTTTAAGATGCCTGCTCAGCATTCATATATCACTATGGTCAGAAACTCAGTATAAATGCAGGAAGGAATAAGTTCCCACTGCCATGGTCCAAGTATGCTTTGCATTGACTCAGACTCAATGTCAAAAATGCACTTCCGCATTTTCACAGGGCTGGAGCAATGTCCAGAACACAGGGGGGCTCCTTAAGGGGTTCTTAGATCTTAGCACAGGGAGTATGTGGGCCACAGAAGCCGTTCAACTTAGAAAGCCCCTTCAGATATGACCACCTTCTTTGTGGAGAGGCATCTCCTAGAGATTCGAGTTCTATAAGAGTTCAGGACAGAGCAACATGCGATAATATACAACAGTACGAGTCATAGATGGTGGCCCCAAACCAGGGGAATCCTGTCAGGAAGGGGTATTATATAGATCCTTACTCCCTGAGACCAGACAGACACAAATCACCTTCTTCTACTCATTGGATCCTTTCCAAAAACTACCACCTCTCCTCATTTAAGAGGGAAAGCAACTGAGCCCAAGCTATTACAGGAAGCGCTTGATGAACTTTAACCCTGAGTAAAGAATGAAGCAATATTCATTGGCCTTGTTTTGGGTTTTGAGGTTTTTTTAAATCTTATTCTGTACATTACCCCTGTTTCCCTAGCTATTATGGTGGTTAGCGTTATTGCCTCTGCCTAAATTCACAATCTTAAAACCCTGCTAACCACTTCTATTTCTTCTCTCACCTCGTCTCTATTTTCTAACATCTAAATGTTTTATATTTATAATACTGAAGTGAGAATCCTAAGTGTTGTGTTGTATCCCGTCAACTCAGAAACAAGTATCTTCATAGCAAAAACAAAAAAAAAACCCTAGAAATAGAATTACTATACTATCTTCTGTAATTCAGAAAGTAACCATTTTCAAGCCAGGTAACTACCTAGCTACTCAGGAGGCTGAGATCTGAGGATAGTGCTTCAAAGCCAGGCCAAGCAGAAATGTCTATAAGACTCTTATTTATGACTCACACCTACATCTATATGCTGAATTAGAACCTAAAGAACATTTTCCCTCTGCTGACAGGTCCACAGATACCGGAGACCCTGAGACTAATGGTATTTCTGCTACAGAAATTATAGATCATAAATATTATCATGAAACTCATTCACTTTATCCAAAAGTACGTAAGAGGCCATTCATTCTTCACAGTGTGAAGGAAAACAGCACAGATTGATATTATCCAGTGAAATTGTTCAAATAACCAGTTCCCACTCATTTCCTCTGAGTCATTTTACAGACATCAACTTAGGCTTTTCAGCCTTGTTTTTATTTCTAGGATTAACCTTTTTTTATAATCTGTCAAGTACATAGTAGATAAGATAAGGAGACTGAGTCGATACCCATAATGGGGTGATATTGTTTTTAATAAACTGACATGGTAATTGCATGTCTTGGCACAAAGAAGGGCATGAGAATATGGGGCTGGGAAGGTGGCTCAGTGGTAGAGTGCTTGCCTTGCATGCATGAGGCCCTGGGTTCGATTCCTCAGCACCACATAAACAGAAAAAGCTGGAAGTGGCGCTGTGGCTCAAGCAGTAGAGCACTAGCCTTGAGGTGAAGAGCTGAGGGACAGCACCTAGGCCCAGAGTTCAGGTCCACAACCGGCAAAAAAGAAAAAAAAAAAAAATCTCATGGGATTTCCTATCTGGGCTGGCTTTGAACTGGGATCCTCCCTTCTCAGCCTCCTGAGTAGCTTGGAGTATTATAACAATGAGTCACAGGCACCTAGCTGATCCTTTTTAAGATGAAGTTTCACTAGTTGGCTAGGTAATAAAATCAGCCTTTCCCACAAAGAATCCAGTTTCACCCTATTATCATGCTAATGTTGAGCATGAGAAGTCTTAGGTTCCTTTGTTCTAACTGCCACCAGGGTGTAAATGATGAGCTGAGTCAATAGGAGATGCTGAGCTTCTCTTACCCATCAAGACAAAACCTCCAGGGGCCTGCAGCTTAAATAACATTAACTAGTGTTGACCCCTAGTATCAGGGAGACACCATGCTGGGGTGCTGTGTGGATTATAGCCATTTGCACATGGAGTCCTGGCAGTAAGTCTTCATTCTTCAAGGGAGCCTGACCCTCCTAACTTGTAGAGTTTGATCCTTCAGATGTGGCTATCCTCTACCTTCATTTTCTCATTTATTATTAATAGGGACTCTGGATTCTGTTCCACTAGAAATCAGCAGGTGTCAGAAGTCATCAGGACATATTCATTTCTGTTCCTCTTATCTCTTTTTCTTTTTTTTTTGGTCGGCCGTGGGGCTTGAACTCTGGGCCTGGGCGCTGTCCCTCAGCTCTTCAGCTCAAGAAGCTTGTGCTCTACCACTTGAGCTACAGCGCCACTTCCGGTTTTCTGGTGGTTTATTAGAGATAGGAGTCTCACGGTCTCTCCTGCCCGGGCTGGCTTTGAACCGCGATCCTCAGATCTCAGCCTCCTGAGTAGCTAGGATTACAGGCGTGAGCCACCAGCGCCCGGCTCCTCTTATCTCTTCACCATGGGCTGGCCACGGTTCCATCTTCAGAGTTGCCTCCAGATTCTGAGCTGTAAAATATTCTTCTTTCATCTTTCCACTCCCTATTATCTTAGCTTCTGACATGTGATATTCAAATAATTATACTCCCAATTCACTGTCCACTTAAGGCTGTAGCTTACCAGCCTGATCTCAGGAAGAACTGACTTAGAGAACAAGGCTGTGGGAGAAAATAATGAGTAGTATCTTCCTGAAGCTGTTGGGTCCCTGCTCCCACATGTCTGTGGAACCCAATGCTCAAAAGTCTTGACCGAAAAAATGGGAGGTCAAAGAAATGAGGAGATAAGGTCTCTCAAAAGTTCACTCAGCTAGGAAGACACGCAGCCACAAAACAAACCTAGTGATTCACAGCCTCGTTTGTTATTCCATAAGTATTTGTAAGTACAACTTAGTTCCTGACTAATTTCCAAATACTGTCCTATATTTTTATCCTGATTTTAATTTTTTTTTTTCCTGTCTGTCAGTTCTGGGGCTTGAACTAAGGGCCTGGGCACTGTCCTTGAGCTCTTTTACTCAAGGCTAGCGCTTTACCACTTTGAGCCACAACTCTACTTCTGATTGTTGAGTGGTTAATTGGAGATAAGAGTCTCACCAGGACTTTTCTGCCCAGGCTGGCTTCAAACTGTCATCGTCAGATCTCAGCCTCCTGAATACTGTACCTGGCTTGGTTTTTGGTGGTTGTTGTTGTTTGTTGTGTTGTTGTTGTTTTTAAGGTACTGGGGTTTGAATTTGGGGCATCGTGCTTGTTGGAATTGCTTGCTTAGACTGTACCACTTGAGTTATACCTCCAGCCTGGCTTTTTGCTGGTTATTTTAAAGGTGAAGTCTCACAGACTTTTCTGCCCAGACTGACTCTGAACCTCGATCCTCTAACTTTCAGTTCTATTAAGTGGCTAGGATTACAGGTATGATCCACTAGCTCAAGACTTCATCTTGATTTCTAGAATGAAGGCGTGTGTCTGCTGCTCCACATTTATGCTGTTTTCTCAATGCAGCAATCATTTTCTGGGTTATCAGTTGCAAAGGCATTTGGAGGTTTGGCTTTGACAAGATTCAACCTTGTCAATTGTTCATCTATAGGGTTAAAAGACCTATTTTTGAGAGATCTGCTATCTCTCATGAGAGTTATTGTGGCTAGGTGTCACTGGTTTCACCTATAACCCCAGCTACTTGGTATCTGCAATATATCACAAATACTGTTGTTTCTGCATGTGATCAATATTAAGAAATAATAACTACTGGGACTGGAAATGTAACTGGGGTAGAGTGCTTAGCCTGCATGTGCAAAGCCCTGCTCGGTCTCTACCACTACAAATAGAAATGCATGCATATGGAAACAAAGCTTTCAAAGGCCTTTTTTTAATAGGCTCACTCAGCACTGCAATTTGAACTCAGGGTTTTGCACTTGTTCCACTTGGACCATGTCTCCAACCATTTAAAAGTTACTGTCTGGGGATGACACTGTTCAAAAAGAAATGTACTTGGCAAAGCAACACATGAGGAAATGTTCACCATCCCTGGTTGTAAAGGAAATGCAAATAAAGACAACCTTAACATACCACCTTATCCCAGTCAGAATGGCCCACATCCTCAAGTCAGCCAAGGACAAATGCTGGAGGGCATGCAGAGAAAGAGGAACCCTATTACACTGCTGGTGGGAATGTACACTTATACAACCACTTTGGAAAGCAGTCTGGAGGGTCCTCAGAAAGCTAAAGATTGACCTCCCTTATGACCCAGTCATACCACTTCTAGGCATCTATTCTGAACAACAGGAACCAGGATACAAGGACACATGCACCTCCATGTTTATTGCAGCACTGTTCACAATAGCCAGGATATGGAAACAACCCAGATGTCCCACCACAGATGAATGGATCCAAAAACTGGTATCTATACACAATGGAATATTATGCAGCCATTAGAAAGGACAAAATAATGGCTGGAGCTAGAAGAAATCATGTTGAGCGTGGTAAGCCAAGAGCAAAGAGACAGAGACAAACTGCACATAGTCTCCCTGATAAGTGGATGTTAAATCCAAAACGTAAGGTGATACATCAAAATTAACAAGGCTGAAGAAACAAAGGACTTCCACTCATCTGGTCGAATCACTACTAAATAACCTCATGCTGCTGATCACATATATGATATATATGTGCACACCGGAGGGAAACTAGGATTAGGACACAGAACTAGAGGGAATCAGGGAAAAACATACAACAGCAGGACCCATCAGCTACACTGGACATTGACCAAAATGAACTAAGCAACTCAATGGCAGCGATAGGAGGGAGGGAACCAGTGGGAAAGAGGGAACAGCTGACAAGATGCAAAACAACAGAAATGTACATATCACCCGATGTGGAAGAAATAACTATCGCAAAGCTCCTAGAACTCACAAATGTTATAGAGCACGATAGACAATTTGCCCCATGAAAGTTAGAATGTGTTCGTGACTTTAACTAAGCATCACTATCCCACAATACTGTGAAATTTGGGAAGTTATGTAATCACTTAATCACAATAAAGAATTTGGAAAAAAAATAAGAATACAGATTACTTAACTCTTGGAGCTTCACAAATGCATTACTATTATAAAATCCTTTTCAAATGTCAAGTGTCATGTAACTACTTGGTCGTAAAGTATTTGATTAGTATGCCAACTACACTATTGACACTGAATGCTCTCTTAAATATGGAATGCATTATTGGATTTCCTAAGCAATAAACAAGTTTGTTTTGTTAAAAAAAAAAGAAATGGGAAGGGAGGGAGGGAGGGGATGGTAGGGGGAAAACAATGGAGGGGGTAACAATGTTCAAGAGGAAGTGTACTCATTACCTCACTCATGTAACTGTAACCCTCTGTATAGTATCTTTACAATAAAAAAAAAGAAAGAAATGTACTCATTACCTGACTTATGTAAGTGTAACCCCTCTGTACATCACCTTTATGACAATAAAAAAATATAAAAGTTACTGTATGTGTGTCGTGTGACATTCACACATGTGTAATCTTTCAATTCAAGCTGGGCATGTAGCACTCACTTGCAGTCTTAGCATCTAGGAGGTTAAAGTAGGAAGATCATATCTTTGAGACACCAACCTGAGCACATCTCAAGATTCCTCACAGAAGAGGAAGAAATGGAGGAAGACAAGGAGGAGGACAAAGAGGAAGAGAAGGAAGAGAAGGAGGAGGAGTAGAAGGAAGTGGAAGAGAGGAGGAGGAGGAAGGGGAGGAGGAGGAAGAAGAAGAAGAAAGTGTTAGGAATGAACATGAATAAAGTACTTTATATACACATACGGAATTTTTAAAGATGAAATCTCAAGTCACTCTAGCCCCTTCTCAAGCGGTCACTCTAGTGTTTACAAGTGCCACCTGAGGAAACAATCATATTGGATGGCATAGGTCTGGATGGAGGATCTCCATTCGTGACCCTTAGAACACTGTGACAGGAATGGAAAGCTTCATTATACAAACATCTGTCCAAATGGCTGGAATCACCATCATAACTGGACAACCTTCCACTCACAGAGGAACACAGTAATTTCCTGTCTGTTGCATGCTCTGTGAGGCCGCTGCGGGCGAAGGGTTCATCACCAGCTTACCTTGTGTAGTTTTCTTTGTATCCAGAAATGTCATCATTGGGAGAGCGCAGTCGGCGCTGAGACGGCGCCTCCAGATGCCAATAGTTGATGCGGTTTAGGAACATCTTTGCCAACTCAATGATTGTTTGCCTTTCTTTGGAGGGCAGGTGGCTGAATTTGTACTGTACAAAGTTATTCACACCCTGAAACGGAGAGCAAATTATTCTTGAAGCTATGCAATCACATGATTCTAAACACCTGCGTCTATAACCAGCATCTATAACCACTGGGGTTATCACTAAAGAACAGATTTTTTTTTTTTTTAATTCACCAAGTTTTCTCCTCTGGCCTTGAAAGGAAACAACTATGTCCTGAGAGAATCGTGCCCGAGGTCAGTGTAGAAAAGAGATCAAGATAGAAAAAACTAGGAGTGGTTATTCTGTGTTTGCTTCAATCCTGAGGCATTAATGCAAAAATAAAAACCATGAACTATCTGGGCACTAGTGGCTCACACCTATAATCCTTGCTACTCAGGAGGCTGAGCTCTGAGGATTGCAGTTTGAAACCAGACTAGACAGAAAAGTTGGTGAGACGCTTATCTCCAATTAACCACCAAAAAAAACCTGAAAGTGGAGCTGTGGTAAGTGGAAGAGCACCAGACTTGAATAGAAAAGCTAACGAACAGCACTCAGGCCCTGAGTACAAGCCCCAGTACAATCTTTTAAACAATAAATTGCTGGGCACCAGTGGCTCATGCCTATAATCCTAGCTACTCAGAAGGCTGATATCTGAGGATCATGGTTCAAAGCCAGCCTGGGTAGGAAAGTCCATGAGACTCTTATCTCCAATATACCACCAAAAAAAAAAAAAAAAACGAAATGGCACTGTGGCTCAAGTGGTAGAGTGCTCACCTTGAGCTGAAGAGCTGAGAGATGGTGCCCAGGCCCAGAGTTCGAGCCCACAACCGACAAAAAGAAATAAAAGTTAAAAAAATAAATTATAGCTCTTCGGAAGAATAAATCCTACTACCAGCAGAGTCATTCACATATAATGCAGTTCTTGGATAATTATAAAGCTTTTCTTTGTAAAAAATTTAATCAGAATTTTATCTTCTGCTGAACTAAACAAAATTTCTAGCCAGGCATGGTGACACACATCTGTAGTTCCAGAACTCAGGAGGTGAAGGCAAGGAGAGTCTAGCTCCAGGTCAGCCTAAAGTACATAGCTTCTCTCAAGAAAATTTAAAAAAAAAAAAAATAATAAGAAAAGGAAAAAAAAAGAACGTTAAAACCAATACATAAATAAATAAACAAACCACACCTACCCATGAACTGAACCACTACAAATTTAAAACTTTATTATTAATCATATCAGAAGAAAAAAAAATCTTATACCAAGTTAAGCACTTTTTCTTTCCTTTTTTTTGTTGTTTGGGGAGGGGGAGGGTCTGGTCGTGGGGCCTGAACTCTGGGTCTGGGCGCTGTACTTCAGCTCTTCAGCTCAAGGCTAGCACTCTACCACTTGAGCCACAGCACCACTTCCGGCTTTTTTTTTCCTGCTTATGTGGTGCTGAGGAATCGAACCCAGGGCCTCATGCATGCAAGGCAAGTGCTCTACCACTAAGCCACCTTCCAAGCCCCTAAAGCACTTTTTCAAACAAAGCTGTGGTTGAGTACCAGTGGCTCATGCCTGTAATCCTAGCTACTGGAGAGATTGAGATTTAGAGGGCTGAGGTTTGAGGCCCACCTAGGAAGAGACTCCATTTCCAAAATAAGCAGAGAAAAGCTGCTTTGGGGAGACAAGAGTGGGAGCCAAGGCTCCAGTTGAACAACCCAAAGGTCCTAATTTCAAACTCCCAGTACTAGCACCAAAAAAGAAGGAAAAAAATGTATCAATCCAGGAGCTGAGGGTGTGGGTGGCTAGAAAGCACTTCCCTAGCCTAAGTGAGGCCCTGTGTTCAATCTGTAGCACCACAAAAAAAGGCGGGGGAGGGAGAAGGGAGAAGAGGAAGAAAGAAAGAAGAAGGGATGAGGAAGGGAAAGAGAGAGGGAAGGAAAGAAGGCGAGAGGGAGAGAAAAAGGGAAGCTGGGAGTGAAGGAAAGAGGGAGAGAAGAAGAAATTCAGTCCTAAGTGTTTTGAGATTCACCAAACAAGGATTAAAATAACCATGCATCTTCCCACAACACATAACAGAAAACATCTACACATTTAACCTGACTTTCTGTGTAAAGTGGCTCCCTTCCCAGAATCATAATGGGGCAGAAAGTCAATTTCTAGCAGCAAATGCTCCTTTCTTGTTTTACTCTTTCTGCTAGACTTACATTTTTCACATTACCACTACATTCACTCAGTAGGATTTTTTTCAGACAGTGGCAAACAAAAGGAACAAAGACAAATTTGAGACATGGACAAGAAGAAAAAGTTCTTACTAATTGCTGGGTCTTTGTAATTTATTTTCTTTCCCAGACACCTACTGAAGTCTAAGTCTATAAGAACTTGAACAACTTAAAGCGAGGTCTGTATTTGTGATCCAAGATAATTTCTACAGATTTGGTGAACATCTCCAAACTAGGATGGAAAATGGAAGATAAAAATGTATAGAGAAATGGACAGAGAGAAGGCTAAGATCTTTACCCTAGAGATGTATCTCAGAGGTATTTTTAGCATACGCAAGGACCTGAGGTAACTTCCCAGCACTATACAAAGAAAAAGAAAGGGAAAAAAAAAACTGTAGCATTAGACCAAAAAACAGCTTCTTAAACCAGTTGCTGGTGGCTTGTGCCTACAATCCTATCTACTCAGGAGGCTGAGCTCTGAGAAGCACGGTCCAAAGCCAGCCCTGGCAGGTAAATCCATGAGACTTTTATGTCCAATTAACCACCAAAAAGCTGGAAGTGGAAGCTCCAGCCCTGAGCAAAAAGCTAAGGGCCATTGTTCAGGCCCTGAGTTCAGGACCCAAGGGTGACATAAAACAAAACAGCTTCTCATCTTTTTACCTGCTCAATACTGGGTTTTTCAAATGGGGGCTTCTTCTCCAAGGATCCTTCAACCACAGGTTTTCCTCTTTGTAAAATAGACTTTCTCAAGAGCTGCAAAGGAATCATTTTTTAAAATTAATTCTCTCTCATTTGCACACACAGCCTTTAAAGAAGTTATCATATTCTATTTATCATAACCATATGTCAATAAATCCTTAAATCAAAAAGGCAAGCTATCAGATAATGCAAATGTGTCTTCATGCCCATAACCACAGCTACAACGTGCCAGATATTTTTTAAGGATCTGAGCAGCCTAGAGAACCCAGGACAAAGTACCAGATGCCCTACCAGGCACCACTAGTCTGCTGAAGCTGCAGCTTGGAGTATTGTCTCCCTTAGACACTGAAAAAAGTAGGATTCTCTTCAGAACACAAGGATCAAGATGCATTGTACTTACACACTGACAAGGTGAACTGAAACCCCTTTATTCCACAACTACTTAAAGATAATAAATAATCATGATGATGATGGTGGTGGTGGTGGCGGCAGGAAGAGGAGTTAACTACAGCAGCTGTATGTCTTATGCATAACCCAAGGCCCCAGCTCAGGCCCAGCCAGGTTGGAAAGGGAGATATTGCAAGGCCTCCGGAAGCAACATTGACTGTAGCCGTCTATTTTCATTTCTCCTCCATCTGCAGAAGGCAGGCCAAGTGTTCTGGCATCTCTTGATACCCACAAAACAAAATCGCTGCTCTTAATTCCTGCCACTGGAATTTAGAGCCCTCTGAGAGGAAATAAAGAAAAGGGAACACAGAACCACTTACCAAGGACTAAGTTGAAAATAAGTTTGAAATTGAAATGCTTTTCCTTCAACCTTAGCTTGAGCATGCTATATGCCTGTCACAAGATGGCCCTGTACCTATGTAGATCTTCCACTCTTTTTCCCATTTGCTGCCCTTTTAATAAAAATGAAACAAGCACACCATTTTCTCCGGAGCAAAAGGAAACTGATGAATCCTCAGGTTAAAAAATGACCAGACACAGCCAGGCCTGGTGGCTCATACTGCTAATCCTAGGGAGGTGAGCTCAGATAAGTGAGGTTCAAGGCCAGAGCTGCAGAAGAGTTCACAATACTTCATCTTCAATCAGAAAAATGCCAGACTGGAGGCATGACTTAAGTGGTACAGCATGAGCCATGAGTAGAAAGGGCTGGATTTGAATGAGAGCTTGAGGCCCTGAGAACTTAAGACTCTGAGTTCAAGCTACAGAACTGGGAGGAAGGGAGAGGAGGGAAAGGGAGGGGAGAGGAGAGGAAGGAAGGGGAGAGAAAAAGACAGAAAAAATTAAAAAAGAATGCTCAGATGCACCACAGAGCTGTGTCCTACAACGACCTAAACTCCTAGCAGTATCTTAAGCTATGAAGACAGAACCCTTACCAATCCCTCTTGTGTTTTCTGTCCATCTTTACAAAAGGTAAATTTGCAAAGAAGATAAGCACTGTATGTGTTCTTAAGAACATATAAAGGTGAGAGTTGGGAACGTGGTTCAGTGGTTGAGTGCTTGCCTAGCAAGCATGAAGCCCTGGGTTCAATTCCTCAGTACCATATAAACAGAAAAGGCCTGACATGGGGCTGTGGCTCAGGTGGTTGAGTGCTAGCCTTGAGCAAAAGAAGCTCAAGGATAGTGCCCAAGCCTTGAGTTCAATCCCCAGGACTGGCAAAAAAAAAAGAAGAAAAGAAAAAGAACATATAAAAACAAATCATCACATTTAATTGTAAGTAATTCTTGGTGCCAGTTTTTTTTTTTTTTTCTGAGTTAAACATGACCACTTAGGAACCTGGCCCAAGTTTTGAATTTGGAAATAAAATGATGTGAGGTGGGGAGGTATTTAACTCAATGTATCCATCTACAAAATGACAAAGCATAAACCTACAAGCATCTTATTTTTATTTTCTGAACTTCAAATGGCTGTACCAGGGATTACAACTTAATATGTCCATCTAAGCACCCAGTGCTTCTTGATCAGTTTCCCCTTACACCATCTCCCGCCCCCATCCCATCTATTCCTTCCCCTCAGACTTATTTCTCATTCAACATATTAAGAGAACACATTAATCTTAGTTCAAGGCCCGCCTGGACTACAAAGTGAGATCTTTAAGTGAGATCTTGGGTTCATCTATAACCCTAGCTACTCAGGAGGCTGAGATCTGAGTCACAGTTCAAGGACAGCTGAGGCAGAACGAAAGTCCATGACACTCCTATCTCCTTTAACCACCAAAAAGCTGAAAGTGTAGGTTGTTCCAAGGCTCTAACTTGTTATCTTAGCTATAAAGGAGACCGGGATCTGAAGGTTGAGGTTGAAAGCCAGCCCAGGCAGGAAATTCCATGAGCTTCTTGTCTCCAATTAACCACCAAAAAACCCGGAAGTGGAGCTGTGGCTCAAACGGTAGAGCACTAGCCTTGAGCACAAAAGCTCAAAGACAGAGCCCAGGCACAGAGTTTAAGCCCCAGGATTGGCACATGCAAGCATGCATACGCATACACACACACACACACACACACACACACACACACACACACACACACACACAAAGCTGACTGGAAGCAGAGCTGTGGCTCAAGTGGTAGAGCACTAGCCTTGGGTTAAAAAACTAAGGAACAGCATCCTGGCCCTAAGTTCAAACCCAAGTATTGGCACACCAAAAGAAGGACGGGGGGGGGGGGGGGGGGGGTGCGGGGGGGGGTGGAGAGAATAAAGTATAGTTTGGATTATGTTCTTCGAAGCAAATATAGTATGTAGTTACACTGTTATTTAATCATAGAGTAGGAAAGAAACAGAGAAAAAATAAACTCCTAAGCAGGGCAAAGCTTTCTGGCCTGCTTGGCTGGCTAGGAACCAAGGAGGCTGGGAGGATGGAAAGGCTGACACCACCTTCGCTTCCAGAGGGCAGAGGAGCTGCCAGGAGCTTGGGGCCAACACAAATCATAGCTGCAGCCATGCAGACCTTGTTTTCCAACTAAGATCTTTTCCCAAAGAAGCTCTAAATAGTAAGACGCTGCCAGGCTTCAATCTGATGACTCAGGCCAGGCCTCACAGCCATGTCAACAAGCTATCACCTGGAGTGGTCCGGTGGCTGCTGATGGCTGTGGGAATTCAGCTCCCTCCCCGCCTCTCTCCTCTCTCTCTCTCACTCTAATAACTTTCCAAAACTTAAAAACTAGAATGCCCCCTTCTAGTCTTGTCTTCTATCCACCTCCAAACCCCTATTAGTACAATAAAGAAAAAAAAATAGCTAATGAAACAAGAGGAAAAAGTATAGATCAAATAATAATAAGTTCAGGAAAAGAAAAACCCTATAGTAACTAGATACAGAATTTGTACTGAGATTCACAGCAACCAAGGCAAAACATGAAGCTCAATAAGAAACTTAATTATGACTTGTCCTATAAAAATCATCATCAGAGGGCTGAGGAGGAAGCTCAGGAACTAGTTCCTGACCTATTCAGTAATAGGTTCAATGCCCGCTGCTGTAAGGTGGGCAATACTGTAAGGTGCCAGAAGGGAGGGGAGGGGAGTAGAGGGGAGAGGAAATAAAGAGAAAAGAAAGCTAGAGTCCCAAACACCTCATGGAAGTGCCTGTATCTAACCATACCTGAAGCTTCATAAGTTTCCAGTAAGGTGAGCTCCTCACAAAAAAAGGAGCAGGGGGTGTTCTTTGCATTAGTTTATTTGCAGGTGACTCATAAATTGTTCAGCAAAATAGACATTCAAAAAAAAAAACAAACACTTCTCTACCTTGTAGCCTCCTATTTCTCTAGTACATGCCTATAATTCTAGCTACTCAGGAGGCTGCAATCTGGAGGGTCTTGGTGCTAAGGCCAGTTCAGACAGTAAAATTCACTAGGCTCCATCTTCAAAATAACCAGCTAAAAAGCAAAATTGGAGGTACAGCTGAAATGGTAGACACCTACCTGCCAAGGTTTAAGGGCTTGAGTTAAAACTCCAGTACCAAGGAAAGAAAGAGAGAAGAGGGGAAGGGAAGGGGGAGAAAAGGAAGGAGGGAAAGAAGGAAGGAAGGAAGGAAGGAAGAAGGCAGGCAGGCAGGCAGGCAGGCAGGCAGGAAGGCGGGCGGGTGGGCCGGAAGGAAGGAAGGAAGGAAGGAAGGAAGGAAGGAAGGAAGGAAGGAAGGGAGGAAGGAAGGAAGGAAGGAAGGAAGGAAGGAAGGAAGGAAGGAAGGAAGGAAGGGAGGGAGGAAGGAAGGAAGGGAGGGAGGGAGGGAGGGAGGGAAGGAAAGGAAGAAAGGAAAGGAAGAAAAGAAAGAAAGGAAAGGAAGGAAAGAAAGAAAGGAAGGAGGGAAAGAGGGAGAGAGGGAGAGAGGGAGGGAAGGAAAGAGGGAGAAAGGGAGGGAGGGAAAGGAAGAAAAAAAGAAAGAAACAAAGAAGAAAAAAGTAATAGATATGAGGTGAAGTTCAAGTACATCACATTCATGATGGAAAAATTACAATGAACAATGAAGACCCTTTGTACAATTAATTTATGTTAACAAAAATTTTGAGAAATGACTTCTCAATTTTTATAGAAAACTTACCCATTAAAAAAATTACAATGATTCTCGATCAATGTCATCCTCCTACAGTCCCTCCCCTTCCCCCCCTCCCCCACCCTTGCCGTTTTTCTCCCCACCATCCCACCCTCAGGTCATATAGTTAATTTTTACATAACGTATATTGGATATGATAGAACTGCATTTGCATTGTTTTCATAACCTGACTTACAGAATTGTGTCATCTTTGCACAACTATTTAATAATTTTAAAAAAATTATAGGTTGGGCACCATTGGCTCAGGCTTGTTATCCTAGCTAGTCAGGTGGCTGAGATCTGAGGACTGTGGTTTGAACCAGCCCCAGCAGGAAAGTCCACAAGATTCTTCAATTAACCCCCAAAGAGCTGGAAGTGGATCTGTGGCTCAAGTGGTAGCGTACTCGGGAGAGTGCCTAGGCCTTAGGATTGGGCTGCTGAGAATGTAGCCTTAGAGTGCTTGCCTAGCATACATGAAGCCCTGGGTTCCATTCCTCAGTACCACATAAACAGAAAAAGCCAGAAGTGGTGCTGTGGCTTAAGTGCTAGTCTTGAGCAAAAAGAAACTCAAGGACAGTGCCCAGGCCCTGAGTTCAAGCCCCAGGACTGCCCCCCACTCCCCCCCCCAAAAACAGACCTAGGATGGGCACAAATATACACATAAAAAAATACAACACATCTCTTACTTCTTTTTTTTTTTCTTGTTAGTCCTGGGCTTTAACTCAGGGCCTGGGCACTGCTTCTCAGCTGCTTTTGCTCAAAGCAAGCACTCTACCACTTGAGCCACAGCACCACTGCCAGCTTTTTTGAGTAGTTAAGTTTCCTGCCCTTGCTGGCTTCAAACCATGATCTTCAGATCTCAGCCTCCTAAGTAGCTAGGATTACAGGTACAAGCCATCAGAGCCCAGACACATCTCTCATTTCTTTATTTTTTTAACCTACTCTTTTTTAAAATTATCTTTAATTAAAGAGATTTCAATTCAACAAATCAGTTTATAAGTATGTATCTTGATCCATGTGACTCCTTCTACCATTCCTCTCCATCCTGGCTTTCCAACCCCACTCATCCCTTCAATTTACCTGGTTCCATTCTCACATATGTACATTGAGCATTATGACTCTTATTTCTCCACCCTTCTATCTATAATCATCTGTTCTCCCTCCAAAATTTAAAAAAAAAAACATGTTTCAACTCCCCGATATTCAATTTATTAACTGTCCACTATACACAACACCTCTTATCTAAAGAGGCAAACTTTCCAGGCAAGGTGGTATACGTCTATAATCCCAGCACTTGGGAAGTGGAGAGAAGAGATGGAGGTCAGCCTAGGTGGACTTTAGAGCAAGACCAAGTCTCAAAAGACAAACAAATAAAAGAGGCAAACTTTCCTTGGCCATAAATTCTGAGTGGTTGTGTTTAACTCTCTGACATCCTTAGAAAGGTTACACAATACAGTCTCATTTCCACGCCCTCAATGGCAGCTCTGTTGGTTGTTTTCATGATCCTCCTCTTGGCTTCCTTTATGAACCTATTTTGGCAAGCTGAAGTTTTCTGTCCATCTCGCTACCAAAGTCCCTCTCACACCAGAGTGTGAGTAGAAGCTTGAGGAGATGCAGATGTGTGGGCAATACTGAGCCACTGTGACCCTCACAGACAGCAGGAGAACCTGGCAGACAGGCAGCTCCGAGGAGAGACAGCACTGAGTGACTAGGGTCAGCCAGGCTCAGAGGACAGCGGGTAACATGCCAAGACCATGCTGGAAAGTCATAAGTGAAGACAGAGCTCACTGGACTCCACCATGCTGGTTTGGTCTTCCTGCATCACCCTGTGCTTGCCTGAGACCCAGTCTGGATATTGTTCCACCTGCCTGGAAGGTGTCTGCCCAGTCCCTGGCAGAGATGGGGCCTAGCTCCCACTCAGGCTTCTGCTCAACTTCCATCTCCCTGACAGGCATTCCTAAGTCCCTCCCTCTGCCGTGCCCCTGCCGGCCACCAGGCTAGCCATCCTGACTCTACTTACCCTACCACACTTTGTTTCTCTCCCCAATGCTCATCTCTGCCTGAGGATATCCCGTTGCCTTGTTGGTTGTCTAAAATGTAAGCTCCAGGATGGGAAAGATTTTTGTCTTGTCCATTGACCTGTCCCTCATACTCGTTAGGGCCATGCACATGACAGATGTCCCGTAAATATTTGTTGGGTGGCTAGAAAGAAATCTACAATCTCATGAAAATCAAGGTATTTGATTCTAGCAGTTTGTTGTGATCTGCTGTGGTATGTATAACCTCAGTATATGGGAGGCTGGTGCAGGAAGATAAATTCAAGGCCCTCTGAGCCACAGAGTAAAATCCTGCCACTCACCACCAAAAACACTCAATTTTGCAGACAACTGGGAAGAAGAACAGTGGGTCCAAAGTATGGCGGGGCATTTTAGAGACCCTGTCATGGAGAAATGCCTGCTTGTTGGGCAGAGAGGGCTCACGTCCGTGATCCTAGCTACTCAGGAGACTGAGATACCTGGATCATCGCTCAACAATGCCAGCCCAGGCAGGATAGTCCATGAGACTCTTATCACCAGTTAACTATTAGAAATCCCAAAGTGGAAGTGTGGCTCAAGTGGTAGAGAGCCAGCTTTGAGCACAAAGAGCTCAAGGGCAGCACCCATGCCTGGAGTTCAAGCCCCAGTACCAAGGCGTGCACACACACACACACACACACACACACACACACACACACACACACATACACACACACACAGAGCTTTAGCAAACCCTAGAAGCCCAATGCAAGTGAACCCAAGCCTTCACCCCCATGCAGTGACACGTGGAGGCTGAGCATACCTGAAGACTAAGGAGCTAAGCCTTGTAAAATGTGACAATCTCACCTTGAACAGGTAGAAATAAACTTGTTTGGTATCTGCATCTTCTTCTTTGTGCACACAGGTGAAGAGATATTCCACATCCAACACGATTCCCAGGAGTCGGTTCATTTCTTCCTCTGACACATTCTCCAGGTGGGAAACATGGGCAGCTAAAGTCAAGATCAAAGGAACAAGTGTAAGAAGTCATCCAGGAACTTCCAATGCTCCCCACTTGAAAACCAGGTGTTCCCTTCACCCCATTAGAATGCACAACTGAGTCTGTAAGGCAAAATTTAATGTCTGGATCCCTGTAAGATTGACATCTCGCAAAATCTACTTAAAACTAGAAACCCTCAATGTTGTTAAGACCTATCCTTCCTTATCCAAGGCTAACACAGGGCCAGGAGCTATTGTATTCAAATGACGTATCATAGCCCAATGCTGGTGGCTTAACGCTGAGATCTGAGGGTCATAGTTTGAGGCCAGCCCAGACAGAGAAGTCCATGCGACTCCTATCTCCAATTAACACCAAAAAGCCAGAGCCAGAAGTGGGGGCTGGGAAGATGGCTCAGTGGTAGAGCGCTTGCCTTGCATGCCTGAGGCCCTGGGTTCGATTCCTCAGCACTACATAAGCAAAAAAGAAAAAAGCCGGAAGTGGCGCTGTGGCTCAAGTGGTAGAGCGCTAGCCTTGAGCTGAAGAGCTGAGGGACAGCGCCCAGGCCCAGAGTTCAGGCCCCACGACCGGACCCAAAAAAAAAAAGCCAGAAGTAGAGATGTTGCTCACATGGTAGAACACCAGCCTTGAGTGGAAAAAGCTAAATGATACTGCCTAGGTCCTGAGCTCAAGCTACAGTCCTGGCACCAAAACAAAAATGCATTGTCCAAAAAGAAATATACTCTTCACCTGACTTATATAACTGCAACCCCTCTGTACATCACCTTTTTATTAACAATAAAAAATGTTGGGGCTGGGAAGGTGATTCAGTGGTAGAGCGCTTGCCTTGCATGCATGAGGCCCTGAGTTTGATTCCTCAGGACCATATAAGCAAAAAAAAAAGCTGGAAGTGGCACCGTGGCTCAGGTGGTAGAGTGCTAGCCTTGAGCTGAAGAGCTGAGGGACAGCGCCCAGGCCCAGAGTTCAGGCCCCATGACTGGACCCAAAAAAAAAAAAAAAAAAAAGTTAAGATATATTTCCTTTTCTTTTTTTTAACCAATCCTGGGACTTCTTTTGCTCAAGGCTAGTGCTCTACCACTTGAGCCATAGCATCACTTCTGGCTTTTTCTGTTTATGTGATACTGAGGAACTGAACCCAAGGCTTCATGCATGCTAAGCAAGCATTCTACCACTAAAGTCACATTCCCCGTCCTTAAGATATATTTTCTAAGAACAGAACTTTTTAACCTGAGTCTAGTCATGATAGGCCAAGTTATAATGTTTCTATACAAGTAAATTCACCACATCAAAAGCCTTCTCTGGGGATCTAAACATAGATCCAGGATTCATAGGTCTGAGGGTCAGAAGTACAGAAAACCAAGCTTTAAGCCAATGGCTCACCCTGGTAATCCTACCTATCAGAAGTCGAAGAGTTAAGGATTGTGGTTCAAAGCCAACGAGAGTAGAAAACACCCTGAGACTCCATCTCCAAAATAAGTAGCAAAAAGGTGAACAAGAGGCATGAACCAAGTAGTAGAGCACCAGCTGAACAAGCAAACTTAGAAAGCATGAAACCCTGAATTCAAGCCCTAGTACCAAGAAAGAAAAAACAAAAATCAAAAAAACAACTAAACCTGCTGGAGGATGGAACCCAGGGCCTTGCATATGATAAGCAAGAACTCTACCACTGAGCTACAACCCCAAGACTGCTTGCTGTTGTTGTTGTTGTTGTTTAAACAGTCTCACTACATAGATCAGACTGACATTAAACTCCAGATCCTCTTGCCTCAAATATCTACGTGCTGGGATTTCTGCATACAACACCATATCCCACCAAAACCATGTTTTATAAATACTTGAAGACGGGGTTATGGCTCAAGTGTCAGAGCACTTGCCTAGCATTCACAGGGCCCTGGGTTCAACCCCCCGCAATACCACAAAAAGACTAAGCAAAGCATTGTATCCGTAATGAGTAGCCTTTCTGGCTTAAAACCAGTAGATTATCAGTACCGTGAATGGTTCAGCTTTGTAAAGCTGGGTACACTACATGTTGATATGTCTTCAGGCTCAGAGGTAAGTTCAATAAGACCAATTTTGGTCAGCAGCCCAAAGGGTGGGGAGCAGTTTTTGGATTTGGTAAAGATACGATTGTTTGAAGGAATGGGGTGGTCAGAGAACAGGTCTGGGCATTGCAGGCTTGAAATCTCAATGGAGGAAGGCAGGAAGGGCAAGGAGGTGAGGGGGGGCTCTCAACCTGGTGGCGGACACTGGGAATAGGGAAAGGACATTGCAGGAAGGAACGAGGGCCTCTGGAGAAAAGGGACCTACAAGGAGCTACTGTTCAGAAAGAGCTGTGAGGAAATCAGTGCGTTCACTTGTAAGCACCAGTGAGAGGGCTAAGGGGGCTTGATTTCAACAGATCTGTGTCTGGATGCAGTGCAGCTTCATCAGAGTAACCCCCTCCCTCATTCTCCCTCCTGAGATAGGTCTAAGAGTCCAGTTTGTCATCACCCTTACATTATCAGGGTGCCAGGGGGCACAGGAAGTTTGGAAACGGGGGAGCTGGTGATGTGAACTTGGTGAGGGGAGAAAAGCTTTTAAAAAGTCACAGAAGAACAATGATCTCTATGCTGTTCCTCACCTAGATAATCAAGTTCACCAACGCCACACCGCAGTCCTTCTCCAAGCAGGTGGATGATGGAGCCCTTTGACCTCACAGCCCTCAGCCAACTCCGTCCCTGAACATCTAATTCTCAGCTTCTTTTTAACTTGTGTCAGTAGAGGGACATGAACTCGGTGCCTCTAGCTCCTGCTTGGCTTTGACAATCAAAGCTGATAGTACTCTATCCCCTGAACCACAGCTCCACTTCCAGGTTTTTGCTGTTTCATTGGAATTAAGAGTCTCATAGGCTTTTTTTTTTTTTTTGGGGTCCAGTCGTGGGGCCTGAACACTGGGCCTGGGCACTGTCCCTCAGCTCTTCAGCTCAAGACTAGTGCTCTACCACTTGAGCCACAGCGCCATTTCTGGCTTTTTTTTCTTTTTGCTTATGTGGTGCTGAGGAATGGAACCCAGGGCCTCATGCATGCAAGGCAAGCGCTCTACCACTGAGCCACCTTCCCAGCCCCTCTCATAGGCTTTTCGTAGGCCAACTTCAAATTGCAATCCTCAGATCTCAGCCACCTGAGTACCTAGGAGGCATCAGTGCTCAACTTCCACTTTTTAATTTTTTTAAGTCGGTCTACAACCTATGTTGGCCTTAAACTTGCTATTTTCCTGCCTCAACCTCCCAACTGCACCTTTTACTCTAACTTGCCTCTCACCTACTGTTAAAAAGAGGGTTCCAAATCATGGTTTTCAAACCATGGGACCCATAAGGGAAGGAGGAGGGCCTCTGAGCCTTCTGAAAACTGAAACGTCCACGACTTAACCAAGCTGTTTCTTTCTAATTCAAAGGAAGGATTATCAATGACTTTTCTATATGCCAATAATGAGAAGAACAAGGTTGAAATCAGGAAAGCAAATCCTTTTGTAATAGCCCCCCCAAAAAAATAAAATACCTAGGAGCTAACTAAAGAAGTGAAAGACCTCTATGAAGAAAACTTTTTTAAAAAATCTGAAAAAGGAAATTAAAGCAGAACTAAGAAAGTGGAAAAACTATGCTCCTGGATTGGGAGGATTAACATTGTGAAAATGACAATACTGCCAAAGGCTATCTACAAATTCAATGCAATACCCATCAATATCTCAATCTCATTCTTTAATAAAATAGAGAAAGCAATCCAAAAATTCATATGGAACAATAAAAGACTCAGAATAGCAAAAACAATCCTTAGCAGAAAGAACAGTACTGGAGGAATATCAATACCAAACTTCAAACTCTATTACAAAGCTACAGTGGGGTGAGGGGGGGTGATGAGAAGGGATGGGAAGGGGAAACAAAGGAGGAGGCAACAATGCTTGATAAGAAATGCACTCATTACCTTGCCCATGTAACTGTAACCTCTTTGTATGGTATTTTCACAGTTAAAAAAAAAGCTACAGTAATCAAAACAGCTTGGTACTGGCACAAGAACAGATCTGATGACCAACAGAATAGAACTGAAGACCCAGAAATGAACCCACAGACCTATAGCCACCTAATTTTCCATAAGGGAGCCAAAAAATAGAGTGGAAGAAAGACAGCCTCTTGAGTAAATGGTGCTGGCAAAAATGGCTAAACACCTGTAGAAAACTAAAGCTAGATCCTTATATATCACCCCACACCAGAATCAATTCCAAATGGAACAAAGACCCTGAGGTAAAAGCAGACACCCTGAAAACCTTAAAGGAAGGAATAGGAGAAACCCTAGGTCTCCTTGGCATAGGCCAAAATTTTCTTAATAGAGACCCAGAAACACAACAAATCAAAGAAAGGTTGGACAAATGGGATTGCATGAAACTGTGGAGCTTCTGCATGGCAAAGGACATAGCTAGCAAGATCAGTAGACAGCCCACAGATTGAGAGAAGATCTTCACTAGTCATATAACAGACAGGGGCCACATATCTAAAATAATTAGACCTCAAAAAATTAAATCCCCCCAAAACAAATCTTCAAAGAAACAACTGCCCGATTAATAAGTGGGCTAAAGACTTAAAGAGAGACTTCTCGGAAGAGGAAATAAGGATGGCCAATAGACACATGAAGAAATGCTCAACTCTGCTGGCCATAAAAGAAAAGCAAATCAAAACAACACTGAGATTCTACCTCACACCAGTTTGAAAGGCTATAATCAAGAAATCTAATAACAGATGCTGGAGGGGATATAGCCAAAAGGGAACCCTACTGTACTGTGTAAACTTGTTCAACCACTTTGGAAAGTAATATAGAGGTTCCTCAAAACACTCCACATAGAGCTCCCCTATGACCCAGCAATCCCACTTTTGGGCATTTACCCAAAGGATCACAAACAAGGCTATACTAAAGCTACCAGCACAACTATGTTTATTGCAGCATTATTCACCATAGCTAAGATAT